GGGGGGGGGGAGATGTTTGTTACCGTTTAGGAAGAGACCTCGGGTCTCGTTGTGGGAGGCGACACATTGGAGTAATGCCAAGGCATTGCATACTCTGTTACTCGCGTGTGCCGTCAATGCTGGTGGGCTGAGAAGCGGATACACGCTCACGATCTCCTGCAACAAACTCGTCATAACACCTGTAACGCCCTCCAGTCAGTCACTGCCTACACAACAACATATGAGAGAATGAATAGAGTAGCATACCAAACGAATGCCACAAAATCAGTGCCAAATCCTCATACTGCTCCCTCTTCTTACTCAACTCCAACAACGCCTGTTCTCGTGCCGTAGCCCCATCCGCAGACGCCGCCGCGGTCTGAGTCCGTCCCGCAACCATCAAATCCACGATCCAGGCATAGATTTTCTGGTTGTCGTCACTCGGCGGAGGCGGAGGGCCTGTAGGCTCTGTTGCGCGTTGAGAGGGTTGGGAGGGGATGTTCAAGGCTGACGACCAAGGGTCTGAGGCACCGGGTTGGGGGAGGGGAGCGAAGGGAGAGTGGTTAGTGGGGAAGGACGACTGCATTGTGTGTGTGGTTGTAGGGGGTGTATGCGCTGGTGAAGGAGGGTTGAGAGGCGGGGAGCAATTGTGTCTGCGAGTCGTTATCGGGGAGTTCTGGCTGGGAGCGCGACTGCGCAGGTTTTGCATGGTGGTGCATATCCCGTGGGAACGGATAAACTGAGGAGCCCGACGTGAGAAGAGAGGGACGTTACGAAGGGGAGAGAGCACGCGAGTTTGAGTGGTCAATTGTTTGAGCATTGTTACGCGCTTGGTTACGTTTGTCTTCGAGGAAGCGGCGTCCTGTGCTCGGGGACAAACCATTCGAGGTCGGCTCCGGGACCCCGTTGCAGCACCGTCCCCGAGCAATGGCCATCGCAATGCAAGGGCTTTACCCACACGTGTACACAACGATACAAAACACGTCAATTGCAATTGTGTGGATTATGTAAGATGCGGAGACTCGTAACCGAGGTCGGCCCCGTTCATTTATCATGCTGGGTCGTTTCATGATGATATACGTAAGGAGTGCGACGGAAGCAGACGAGCAACGTTTGCAATTCATGAGGACACGTCGCTATCGTGTTCGCTTACACAGCTGTAGCTATTTTAATCACCGTCCCTTAAGTTGCAACTGTTGAGGAGGAGAGATACCGGCTGTACTTTCCCTTGGCATGAGAGGAGGCGCGCGGGTTTGTCTCATCCACGAAAGCCGGCGCCGGGCTTGCAACGCTTCCGAGGCAGCAGACCAAGGAAACAACCCTCCAGTCTCTAATCGACCGCTGATCCCACTGCAGCAGCTGGGAAGTCCAGAGGTCTGGTTGTTTGTAATCAGATTGTTACAGAGCGCTACATCGCCTTCAAGCTACGTTGTCTGCCTCGGTAGAAACAGGGGCTTCTCTAGAAGTGCTGGTTGTCACCAGCCGGGCAGACTCCTGCGATCAAGGCCGATAATAGAGAGGCCGTGTCCCGAGGAGTAATTTCTCTATAAATCGAAACGCAACCTGGTCTGATCCGCCCGTCCTTTAACAGCTGTCCCGAGCCACACGGATCAATCTCATCGCAGCTTTCACGCTGATTCGCGCGTCCAGCCCTTACCGGTACACAGCAATCGACCCAGGCCCCCCAAAATTTCCGCGCTGGCAGGCACCACCACCTACTTAAACGCTCCGGTCCCCCCTTTCTGCCGTCCAACAACCCCAAACGCACAAAACACCAGAAGTCATTTTTTCGATTACATACAGTCGAGATGGCCTTCTAAATCTGTTGCACGAGCAAATCCGATACAAATTACAATACCGATAACAAACAAAACGTCTATCTGTCCTACGGATCAGAACCCCAACTCTACTCAACCATGTCGTTCCAACAACCCTCGACCCGATCTGCTACAACCAAACAAACCACCCGCATATCGCCAACGCCTCGTCGACCCCGTCGTTAGAGCCTTTACTACCACTACCACTACTACTACTCAACCATCGTCAATCGATCGTCGTTTATCGTCTACCGCGTCTATTTTGAATACACCTGTATCAACAACACCGAAAATCAATATGGTTTCGTTGCGTGATATCCAGTCTACCGCGTCTCCGAAGGAGTTCGCGCTGGATTTCCAGTTGAAGAACATGTCTGCACACACTCCGCAAGGTACTGCATTGCCGTCTTACGGACCTACTGGGCACCCGTCTTACACGCATACAGTCCCATCTTTTGCCTCTCCCTTCATCGATACCTCCTACCACGACTTCTCCACCCCGGCTCAACCGGCTTTCCCGGACTTTACGCCTGCACTCTCCTACCACTCCTCCTTCGAGTCTCCTATTGAGGATGAATTGGCGTTGTTGGCTACCCCCGCCGCGGGCGCCATGCCGCTCTTCGATCTTGAGAACGATGGTGCGTGGGGATGGGAAGGTTCCCTTTTCCCTGAGGAGGAGGTTGTCAAGTCCGCACCTGCTGCCGCAGAAGCGTTCTGCATGCCGCCGCAAGCGCTTGTGACTGCCCCCCCTCCTCCCGCCATGGCGGCACCCGCGCTGCCACCACCTATGGTCGTGGGTGAGCAACCCCAGGAAGAAGTCTTCGTGAAGCCGGAAGTCATCTCCCCCCTCATGACAACCAAGCCCTCCTTCACCCCCGCCTCCCGCCCTTCCTTGAAGCGCGACTCAACCTCCACCTCCACCTCTTCCATCCCATCCTCCCCTTCCCCCTCCATGGACCTCGAAGACTCCAAGTTCGACCTCCCATCCTACAAGCGCCGCCGCACGGCCGAGCTTCCTCCCTTGCCGGTGGACAGCCTGGACCCGATCGAGGCCAAGCGCGCGAAGAACACGGAGGCGGCACGGAGGTCTAGACAGAGGAAGTTGGAGAAGATTGAGGGACTCGAGGGTACGATCCGGGATTTGAGGGCTGAGGTTGAGATGTGGAGAGCCAGGGCTATTGGCCTTGGATGGAATGAGTAAGCTGTCTTGCCTTTATGGGTGAAGCATAACGAACCTGTATTTGCAAGTGGCTTAGAAGAAAAGTCATTGGATGTGTGTTGCTACTATGACATGTTTGTGAAGAGGATGGGATACACGGAGTGTTCCTGAGGGGAATGGAAGGGGGATCGTATCTATAAAAATTGTGCCTTTTTGTTGCTTTTTGCTTTATTTGAAGGGAGTGAGTTCGTTCAGAGCATACTTGAGGTTGTTTGCCGTTTTGAATCAGAGTCTTGTTTTGCTCCTTATGTCTTGTCCAATATGTCTTCCACTCCTTCGTCGTCTGCAACTGCATGCCATTAACATTTGCTCGTCTTTTCATGAGTTGAAAGCTGCTCCGCCTTCACATCTACCCTACTCCTCCCGCCTTCTAATTGCTATTTATACAGGCATGATCCGATACCAAGCTTCCCCATTTGTCCATATTACACACAATCTCCCATTCAAGACGGCTTCACTTTCCTGCGCTGAACATCGCGTCGCACGACCCCCTTTACGCGTTTCACTACACCCACAACGCTTTATGTCGAACCACCACCGTCAATGGCTGTTAGAAATACTCTACGAAGCTGTAGAAGCTTCCTAGTGGGCTATTCTTGGTATCAGCTTACCGCTTATGTGCGGAGACGGGTATATATTGCTTGTGGGCCCAGCTGGTTGTGGAGGAAGGATCAAGTCGAACAACGTCGTTCTCTGAAGATACCCACTTCTACAGACGCTACACTCGTTACAACACAATATAGACAAGCATGAAGACTACTCTCTACACGCTCGCTGCTCTGGTCTCTGCCTTGACGGCTCAAGGTGAGTCGTATTTGTCACGACCTACAGGTAATTGCAAAGGCTGACATAGTCAACTTACAGCCATCATGGTCACCTCCCCCAACCAATACACAGTCTGGTCCTCTGCCGCTAACTCCTCCACCGCAATCACCTGGACATCCGTCTCCACCGACCCCTCAACCTTCGACATCTACCTCGTCGACATGACCTCCTCCCCCTCCTACTCCTCCCTCCTCCCCCTCCTACTCCTCCCTTCTCGCTTCCGACGTGAGCACGAGTGATGGAAGTTACACCGTTAGTGGGAACTTGCATACTGGGGAGACCGTGCAGGTCAACTTCGTGGCACTGGGGAAGCCGGAACAGATCTATGCCCAGAGTGGACAGTTTGATATCGTTGAGGCGGCGGCTGCGGAGAGTTCTTCGGCGGCTGCGTCAAGCACCAGTGCCACTGCGAGTGCTTCTTCCACTTCTGCCTCCGCTTCGTCTACCAGTGCTGCTGCCTCCGGGAGCGCGAGTGCCTCATCTGCTAGGTCAGTCGATGCCTCTTCCTCCTCAAGTGCAGCCGCTGCCGTCGCTTCTTCTGCTTCCGGTTCTGCTACCTCGAGTATGAGGAGTGCAGCTTCGTCCATCTCGTGCGAGTCCCATTATCGTTCGTATTTCTCACGCTAACATCATGGTGTAGTCGTGCTGCCGCTTCTGCCTCTGGATCTGGATCCGCCGCTGCTGCTTCTGCTTCGGGAAGTGCTGTGGCGTCTACTGGTGCCGGTGTCTCGAATGTGAAGATGTCTGGGGCTGCGTTGTTGGGGATGGGTGTTGCTGTCATTGCTGGTGGTGCTCTCGTCATGTAAATTGACGATACCGGTTGGAAGTAATTCGCATTTTCGGTGCTGGGGCGCTCGACACATCGGTTAAAGCCCGGTTTTATTTGGTTTAATTTGATTGGTGATCATTTGGAAGGAGATGGTTTGGTATATTTTTTTTTATATTGTGCGATCTTGGGATACCCCCTTCATAATCTCCACCTTCTTCTCCCCTTTCTCATCACCCTCATCCAAACCCCAGTTTGCTCTCTAAAACTTCCTCCTCGCCAGCGTCGGCTTCCACTCCAAAGGATGAGTATCCGGCGTCGCATTCCTATCCTCCCCCCATATCTTAATACTCTTATCCGCCTCACACGTAACCAACCTCAACCCACTCCTATCGAACGTACTCGCAAACACCCCCGCCTCACTCTCCAAACTCCCCGGCTGCACGACGGTCTGCATCGTCTGGAACCTATGCCCACTCTTCCAATCCCAGAAACTCATCGACCCGTTATCCGCGCCCGAGAAGAGAACGTTGTCGGTGTTGACTGACAAGGTGTTTATGATTGCGTTATGACCCTCGAAGTTCTGCATGAATGCGCCTTCGGGGCATTTCCATTGTTTGATGTTATCGCCGCTTCCGGAGGCGAAGGTCCATTCCGTCGGGTGTACAGCGAGAGCGCGTACGCTCTTTTTGTGGTGCGTTAAAACGTTCATCGCCTTACCTGCAACCAAATCCCAAAGCCTGACCGTGCTATCCATACTCCCCGTCAACACCTGCGGGTCACTTTCCTGACACTTCACATCACTAATCGTCCCCGTATGTCCCCCCAACGTCATCACATTCTGCCTGGTCCGCATATCCCACACCCTCGCCACACTATCTCTTCCCGCGGTGACGAGGACGTCGAGGGTGGGGTGGAGAGCGAGGGAATATATTCCGGAAAGGTGGCCGTGGTAATGCCGGATTACTTTGTTTTGTTCTAGGTCCCAGCATTTGATCTGTTTGTCTTCGGCGCAGGAGAAGAGGTAGGGGTGGCGGGGGGAGACGGCGAGGCCGCGGACGGTGGAGATGTGGCCGGTCAACGTCACCTTTAGGTTGCCTGATGCGAGGTCCCAAATCTACAGGTTTGTTAGTAATTTGTTGAATGGGGGATAGGAGGCGTGGACCAACCTTGATCGTCCGATCACCAGCTCCAGTCGCGAACCACTGGTTTCCAGGCTCGACAGCGACACACCGGACCCACCCCAAATGCCCACTAATCACCTTCATCAACTTCCACGGCGCATGCCATTCTGGTTTGATCGGTTGTACGTGCGACCGTCTAATCAACCCGTGCTGTGCGCCAGCCGGTATTCTTCTTCCCCCCACTCCTGCTGCTCCAGCACCAGAAGCACCAGGCGCACGGATGGTGAGAGCCTGAGTTTGATCTCCATCTTCTCTTGTTGGGATTCCCTCGATCATCTTCATCGTACCCTCATCATCGCCATCCTCCACCGTTGCACTCTTGGCTTTCTTTACAACCTTCTTCTTCGCCCCAGGCTGCTTCGCGGCGATATGTGCCGGTAACTCCCGTACATGCTCATACTCTGCCCTCAACTTCGATGTGATCCGTGCTTTTATTGCCGGATCCTCCGTAATAGAGGGTAGTGCCTGGGTTGGTGCTGAGGAGGAGTCTGATTCGGCGAAGAGGGCACGGGTGCGTTTTGCGGAGCGGCGGAGAAGGAGTTTGGCGTGAGACTCTGGTGATGGCATTGGTGGTTGGGATTGGGTATCGGCCATTGTGTTTGAATGGAATTGCGATTGTTGGAGGTGAGTTGGAGGCATCGCGTTCACGTGCATCGTCGGCTGCTGCGGCTGTGCATCGAGGAAGCATAACCTTGCATGCCAGCCTTGGATTCTGAAGATCAATTTTTGGCAAAAAGGGAGAAACCATCCCTTTTTTCATTTGGAAGTGTATCATGAATTTGGGTAGTCTCTGCCTTTTTCGTGGCAGGAAAGCATCCCGAATTGGGCAGTCTACGGGTTTGCCGAGTGCTTGTAATAAAGGCAGCTGTAACTTCCCGCGCAGACTCCGGTTGCTGAATTAATTCTCAAGTCCTCGAAGGGAATGGTCGTTGCTCGTGTTCTTCAACTCACACGACTAATCAGACCTGCTACGCTTCTTATAACACCCAGGCCAGCTCTCGTCGCCACCTCCAGACTTACCCGCCTTCCTACCAGAACCATGTCGACCATCACCACGACCACCCCGACCCCTGCCACGAACGGCGTTCGGCTGCCAGAGGTAGACTACAAACCTTACCTCAAACTCACAGAATCCACCGAACCCGACTGGGTCTCCGACCTTGACCTCACCCAAGCAAAAGAACTCGGACAGGAACTCCTCGGCGACAAACCTTTGAAAGTCCTCGTCCTCTACGGCTCCCTCCGAACCCGCTCCTACTCCCGCCTAACCGCCTACGAATTCGCCCGAATCCTCACCCACCTCGGCGCAGAAGTCCGTGTCTTCAACCCCGCGGGCCTCCCTATAAAGGATGATAACCCGGAGACAGAAAAGCACGCGAAGGTACAGGAGTTGAGGGAGTTGAGTGTATGGAGTGAAAGTCAAGTGTGGGTTTGTCCGGAACAACACGGTATCCTCACCGCTGTCTTCAAAAACCAAATCGACTGGCTCCCCTTAAGTTTGGGAAGTGTGAGGCCAACACAGGGCAGAACCCTCGCCATCGCCCAAGTCAACGGCGGCTCCCAATCCTTCAACACCGTCAACGCCCTCCGCATCCTCGGCCGCTGGATGCGCATGGTCACAATCCCAAACCAATCATCTATACCCAAAGCCTGGACCGAGTTCACCCCCTCCGACCGTCTCAAGCCCTCGTCGCTCCGTGATCGCGTCGTCGATGTTTGTGAGGAATTGTATCGGTTTGGAGCGTTGTTGAGGGGGAAGGGGGAGATGCTTGTTGATCGGTATAGTGAGAGGGAGGAGAAGAAGAAGGAGGGACGGTTGTTGAGTCAGGAGGAGAAGGAGAGGAGGAAGGGGGAGGAGAGTAGTGTTAGGACGGCGGGGGAGAAGGAGGTTGAGAAGGTTGAGTCGAATGCGCAGGTGACCAAGGCGTAAACTATATCTATAATAGACACCATAGACAAAAATGATGTACACTCGCTCGAGAAACCGCCCGACAGGACCGTGTGATCAGCGTCCACCCCAAATGAGAGACTTGGTCCATGAGATTTAGATTAAATAGAGATTCATATTAAACTATTCTGCTGCGGAAATGCCAGACTCAATCTCACCCCCTATGGCCCTTCCACACTATTTTGCACTTACTCTGTATACTGTAATGTATCAGCGGCGATGGCGGGCACGGGGCTCCCACGCTCATGCCGAGACTCCGCGCCGGCGCGGCGCAATTCTCGGATCCACCCTCGGTAACCTTAACCTTGGATAAGTGAGTAAACCCAGATCCAATCAATCGTCGATGCCGTTCCTATATATAGATATGTACTCCTCCAATGCATCTTCAAACCACTCGTTTCAGCGGTTCCCCACGCGTTTCGGCTGCGCTTCTGCTTGCCGATAAGCCTTTACCCGCGAAACTATTACGCCGAATTTCAGCCGGTATGGATTCTTTCAGCATGGTTGCGACGTGCTCATGACGAATTCATATCAAGCAATTGACTCATCCCCTCAAGCTTCTCTATAATACGGCCGAGCATCCCTCCAGCAATGGGAAAAGTGAGCATGATCGTGACGGCCACACTCAAAGGCCTACAAGATGGATACCTCCCAATCCCCGATTGAGCTAGCAAAGATCGAGTCTGCGTACCGTCCCTCCAACGACTACAAGCAGGGCCACATCAACAAACGTCATATCACCGAGACCGTCAGTTCCGCTCCGCAGACTGAGTCGCACACAAGGACTCCGAGCGTACACGAGGAGGAGGGCGGTATTGTGGCTTTGAATGGAGCTGTGGTTGAGGCAGGCGAGGAAGAGGTGGTGATCAAGTGGAGGTGGTTCAAGATGGGAGTTTGCTTCTTTGCATTCTTGGTGTTTGGGATGAATGATGGTGCGATGGGAGCCCTAATCCCCTTCGTACGTATCTCACACTCTTCAGTTCCCATACCGGTCTTGCTGACAATTTTAAACAGATCCAGAAGCACTACGAAGTTGGCCCCACCCCCGTCAGCTTCATCTTCCTAACGCAATTCATCGGCTTCGTTCTCGCCGGCCTCTTCTCCCCCCTCATGCACAAACGCCTCCACACAACCTTCCGCACCGTAACCCCAACCCTCCTCCTCATGCACCTCGCTTACGCCCTCATGTGCTGGGGTCCACCTCTTCCACTCCTCATCGCAGCGTACGTGTTGATCGGGTTCTCCTGTGGGGTGCAGGATGCGATGTATAACGCATTCATCGGACAAATGAAGGGATCGATGAGTTTGTTGGGGATGCTGCATGGGTGTTATGGTGGCGGTGCAGCGATTGGGCCGATTGTTGCGACAAGGGTGAGTTTAAGGTTGGTGTGGTATGATTATTTTTTTGTGATGTTGGGGTTGACGGTGTTGTTGAATATGCTGTTTGTTGTTGCGTTTTGGGATGAACGGAAGGCACGGACGCCAACTCAGGATACGCAAATAGCCTCGATGGAGCACACTGCCGGTCTTCTACAAACCCTTCGCTACCCGGTCGTGCCCATCCTCGCGACTTACCTCCTCCTCTACGTCGGCGCCGAGGTCTCGTTGGGCGGCTGGATCGTCTCCTACATGCTCGAACAACGCCACGCCTCGGCATCCTCCTCATCCTGGGTAGCAACCGGCTTCTGGCTAGGCCTAACCGCCGGCCGTTTTGCACTCGGCTACCCGACCTCCATCATCGGCGAGAAGCTCGCAGCGACAGCCTACATCGCCTTCGCGATCGCCCTCCACCTCCTCTTCTGGCTCATCCCTTCCAAAATCTCTTCCGCTGTCTTCGTGTCTCTTGTTGGATTCTTCTTGGGACCACTGTTTCCGGTTGCCATTTCGCTTGCGACGAAGATTATTCCGAGGAGGTCGCATATTGCTGCGGTAGGGTTTTGTGCGGCTATTGGTGGTGCGGGAGGAGCGGCGTTTCCGTTCATTGCGGGTGCTATTGCCGGGAAGAAGGGAGTTGGTAGCGTTGTTGCTGTTGTGCTGGCGTTGTTGGGTGCGATGGAGATCTGTTGGATCAATGTGCCGGCAAGGTGGGGGAAGTGGAGGACAGACTGAGCTTCAATAGAATCGGTTTCTTTTGCATGTCGGGTTCACATTTTGCTTCCTCATCATTTTCTCCCACGGTCAGTTCACGTCATTCTGCAGACTGCAAGGGCTCCCGCACAATCCCTCGTACTCTGAACTTTATTTCGACGCTCACACCTTCAGGAAATCTCAGCTTGCACTTACTTCGAAAAATCACATATCCGGATCACTACCATCAATTGACGCTCGGATCAGTACCGCAAAGATCTCCAATGCCTTCCGACATTCCCGAAACGCTCGCATCCGCCCTCCCCTCGCACCTCAAACCGCTCACCTTATCCTCCCACGGCGGCTCCTCCTTCTCTCAGATCTTACAGCTGATCTGCTCTGACACCTCTGCCAACGACACGGAAACCCACTTCTTTATCAAAGTCGACCGCCATCAATCCCTCGTCCGCGGCGAATACGCTTCCCTCCGCGCAATCTGGAACGCAGTCCCCGACTTCTGCCCGGAACCAATCGCGTTCGGCGCCTGGGATGAAGCGAAGACACAATGGTTTTTGGTTACCTCGTTTATCGATACAAACGGGAGCCCAGGCTCGGCGGAGTTCGCGAGGAAGTTGGCGAAGCTGCATAGCACGACGTCGCCGAACGGGAAGTTTGGGTTTGAGGTTCCGACGCATTGTGGTGAGACGAAGCAGTCGAATACGTGGTGTGATACGTGGTCGGAGTGTTACAGGGTTCACCGGATTCAGCCACTACTGGATCAACTTCCTTCGAGTTCCATGTCAGAGTCGCTGAAGACTGCGCTCGTGGAGAAGGTGATCCCACGGTTATTGGTGCCATTGGACGACAAAATTAAACCGGCCTTAGTCCATGGAGACTTATGGTCCGGAAACGCATCCGCAAACTACATTTTCGACTCCTCAGCCTCATACTCCCACGCTGAGTTCGAGAGAGGAATCATGAGCATGTTCCCCGCGTCGGGTTGGAACAGCAATTTTTGGGCCAACTACAAAGCCGTACGCGAGGAGTTAGGGAGTACAGAAGAAGACTTACGACCTGAGGAGAAGGCTGACCGGATAAAGCTGTATGAGATGTACCACCAGCTCAACCATGCCGTGATGTTTGGCGATGGAGGGTACGCGATGAGCGCGAAACGAGCGGCGGAGGACCTGGTGAAGAAGTACGGCCAGTAAAGCCTTGGAGTCCAAGGCCAGGAGAAAGACGTTTCTTAAACTTTAAAAGATCAGAGTACCAAATATATCAGACATACTGGGGCCGACCAGGCACCCGCCAAGGGACTAGCTCCAGCTTTTACTGGGTCGCGTGTATGAGCTCGTACGAACCATAGTCACCTTCAGAACCCTCACATTCAATCATTTACGGCTCCAAACTCGAAAGCCAATATCCTCCACGCTCTGCAAACGCATCCAGCCTTTTCCCAATCTAAATCAGTCATATAACCATGTCACGAGGCGGTTTTCGTGGCCGAGGACGAGGAGGAGCTCGTGGTTTCCAGGGATGGTCGAATGGAATGTGGGAACGAGATGTTTCTGCAATGGAACTATTCCCTGTACGTGATTTTTGCCTCTTCTGGCTCCGGATCGCTCGCTAACCGGACGTGCGCTTAGAAAACACACGTCCCACAACAGACAGACCCAACAGAAAACGAACGATTAGCAGCAAAATTCGCAACCGATCTCGCCGTCCAAATCAAAGAAGAATCCGCATTTTACATCACCATCAAAGCCACCGAGAAACAGCAACAAGAAGCCCTCCTCACCTCGACCACAGACGAAGACGGTATCGAGCGATATTCAGATAGATACAAAGTCCACCTACAAAATCGACCAGAACGACAAGTGTTGACGAGTTTACCACAACCGCAAATTCTAGATCCGACATATTTCCCGGCGGAGCTGCACTCGGCGTTTACGGGCGCGGGTGGAGCGAGGAAGAAGGTGAAGAAGTTGGATATGGAGACGTTCTTGGATCAGACGCTGGCGCCTATGATGAGATCGACGAATGATGATGGGGAAGGGGAGGATGAAGTCGAGGAGGAGGCGGATGATATGGAAGATGACTTTGGGGATGATGATGACAATGATTACGGAGAGAACTACTTCGATAACGGAGAAGAGTACGGCGATGGACTTGAAGACGACGGAGGGGAGGATTTCTTCTAGGCTGATCATGGAGAATATCCACGTCCAGGCGCGATGTAGGGATCTTCATCAGGATATTGCCTCATTTAGGCACCATGGGTTTCGGAATATAGTTCGATTCATGAAGTTTGATCAGATAAATACGTCAAAAGAACGCCTAAAACCGCCCTATTGCCATGGAATCCATTCTAAACCGTTATAGCCCCACATACTCATTCGCGATATTCTGTAGCAGTGGCCTATCCTTTAACACCACTTCTCCCTTCGCTCGGTTTACTTTCTTCTCCCCCTCCTTCTTGATCTTGACTGGCTTCTCTTTCTTCACACTCGACTTCCTATTACCGGATTTCTCCTCCTTCTTGATCGGCACGTTCTCCTTCTTCGGCGTGATCAATGCAGTAGGAGAACTCTGCGGCTTGACATTGATGTCAGAGTGCAAGAGGTGAGCCTCCGGAGGGAGGTTGTATACCCAGTTCTTCTGGTCCATGATATCAAAGAACTCCCGAAGCAGGTCCGTGCTTTGCAGCGTCTTCCTCGAGCCAAAGACGATGAGCTTCGACTTGGCTCGGGTGAAGGCAACGTTGATTCGACGTTTGTCCTTGAGCAGGTCACCGACGTTCTGCTCCTCGTTGGCACGAACCAGAGAGATGATGACGCACTCCTTGTCGCGGCCTTGGAACTTGTCGGCAGTGTGGATCTCAACTTCGGGCCTGTCGCGTAAATGATTCGAGATGATCTTGAGTTGACTGCGGTAGACAGAGATCACACCGATCTTCGTTTCCGGCACACCAGAGGCGACGAGACCGTCGATGGTTTGTTTAATAAGTAGCGCTTCAGCCTCGTTCGTGATACGGTCACCCTTCTTCTGTTCCACAGCCGGAATCTGGTCGGTGTTGGCGAAGACTGCCGTATAAGTGTCGTCCAATAGGTCTCGAAGCCAGCATCTTAAAACAGTACAGGTCGCGTCACTTGCGTGAGCCAGAACCAACCTACTCAGGTCGGGCACCTTTAACCTCCGCTTCGCGACAGACTCCGTACCGCACTTAAGCCTACCATCGTATACAAGCGTGTTACTGAGCAACATGATATCCTCGTTCATGCGGTACTGATGCTCTAAGTTCACCACAGCTTGAGGATGAGCATCCGTCAAAAGCTGAAACAAACTCACATCCAGACCACCCTTCAATGCATCAGTGTTGCGAACAAGTGGTGGAAGCTGGTGATGATCCCCAACCAGGATGAACTTGCTGGCGAACCGCAAAGGCCCGACACAGACAGGTAGAGTGATCTGCGATGCTTCGTCAACGATACAGTAATCGAAGGTTCTCTTAGCGAACAGGGAGTGGTTAATCGACAAACAGGTCGTTGCAACAATGTTCGGCTCGTTATACAACCGATTAAGCTCCATGAACGTTGTGGCCTTAGCTGCACCCGCCGTGAACTGCTTGACATCAGGATGCACCTTGGCGCTGCCGCCTAACCTCAATATGTTCAACCCATCATCCTTGATCTTAAGCAGGATGTTGTCAACAGCCGTGTGAGTGTAACTCGTCAGCAGGATGCTCTTGCCTTGAGCTGTGAGAGCGCGGATGATATGAGCGATCGTGGTGGTCTTTCCTGTGCCAGGCATACCCAACACCAAGGCATAATCGTTAGCCATCATGACCCTTTCAATAGCCCTCAGCTGATCGACGTTGAGTGTACTTTGACTGGGACGAGGTGGATACTGCGTCGATCTTGGTTCAAACCTTGGCTCGGCAAGATCCACGATCAACTGGCGTCGCTTCTCATCACCGTCGATAGACATGAGCCGAACCAAGTTGTTGCGCACCAACGCCATTCCGTTCTTGAACTCATCACGATCGATACGGTAGGTGTTGGATTCATCCTGACTCACGCCACCAAGGGATATACTGGCAGGGCGGAACTGAGGGTCTGATTTCGTGACCTCCAAAATCCCAGCAAATGTCTGATTATCAGTCTCGTGGAATCCCGGCTGTCGTGTCCTGGCGTGATGCAATCTTCGATCGACAGCCACAGTGATCATATTCGGCCTCAACTCCGTAACATACCCATTCGCCAAAGCAAAATGTCCCTTCTCGTCCGAGATAACGATGGGTTCACCTTCGTTAATCTGCGAATTCAAGAATGAAAAGTTGACATAGTCATTCTGAGCCTGAGTGGATCCCGGCAACCCGGGCTTCTTGATAAAGCGGTACGTATACCGGTTAATCTTCTCAGCCTCCGAGCTGATCTCCAAGCTTCCAGGGACGATGATACACCCAGCAAAAGCCCTACCGACCTTCTCACGTTCCGAACCGACCATACTCCACAACTCCTTCCGAAAACGAAACATGTCACCTTCCTCTTGCGTGAGCAATCGATCCCAATGCTTGAAGAACTCAGCCTGCTTCGGCGTGATATGCCCTGTCTTCTCGTCGAACCACTCGCCCAGTCCACTCATCGAAGCAGTGTAATCCTCATCCGCCTTGAGATAGACTAAACAAGATTCATTCGCGTAACACCTCTTACAAGCATGTTCATTCTTGATCGGCGCAGGCAATGCTTCCCGGTCCTTAATGAACCCCGCAAGTTCATTACGGCCAATAATGAGACCACGAACCTCATTCCGTACAGCAGGAACACGGATCATCTCGTTACCCTCGACATAACACAGCAAACCGGACAAGACATCAATATCATACCGATCAGACATCATGAGCGTATACAACATCGTCTGCGCGCGGTGACTCGTCACCTTCGAGTTCTTCCCCGTCTTCAACTCGAACGGCACTGTCAACGTCTTCCGCTTCTCACCATGTTGCTCGATCCCAATCTGTACTGTAGCGTCGATGTTACCTTTCAATCCATACCTAGGACTCCAGATATGTTCCTCGATATCCAAAACCTTGTTGATGCACACCCGCGGCTTCTTGTCGTCCTTTGCTCGATGATCCGTAACATGCGAATACGTCTTCGGTTCCGGCGCCATATACGTCTGTGCCCAGCCCTGAATCAACCGACACTTTTCCTGCAAATACACCCTCGCCACCTCCGGCGGCTCATCAATCAAGAACAACTGCTCCATATGCCTCACAATAAGCCCCTCAATCGTCTCAAACAGGAACTTCTCCGAGAAGTCATTCCGGCTCAAGGCTTCCTGGAATAGTTCGTGTATGACGCTCCCGTACACCAAAGCCTTCGTCGTCTCCCCAGTAGCCTTGACACGATCCTGCAATATCGCTCTCCGCATACACTGAAACGAATCCGCAACGACAGTCGCCGAAACGAGATAATCCGGATGCAGAATGATGAGGTTATCCGCATTATCAACCACACACTCCCCGCACTCATCAAACCTCCCAACGACATGCACATAATCCCCCTCCCTCACCGGTGTAACCCACCAGTCCTCCCTCAACCTCACCGTTCGCATGTGTTGACTATCAGAATTAGACCCATGTCCATCCTCTTGCACCGTCAAGATCTTCTCGCATCTTGTAAACCCGTTGACGACACATGGACCTTCTTCGATGGCTTTGACGAGGTATCTGCTAATGATTGAGCGTCGAACACTTTTCTTTAGCTACTAAGCATCATGTCAGTTTTTGTACGCTAGCGGTGGAGAGATCAAGTAGCAGATCGGACCTTTTGGTCGAGGATCTCGCTGACGCCCTCGTCCCATTCATCGAAGTCAACTCCGTCCATCAATGCCTCCACATCATCTTGTGTAAGGTTTGCTGGTGCGCCGGTAGGGCCTGAGGGAGCTGCTCCTTGTGGTGCCGCCTGTCCAGTTGGAGTGTCGTACTTCTGCAGTTCCGCTTCGAAATCCATATCCATATCACTCCCATAATCCTCACTTTGCGGATTTGGCGGCGGCGGACGAGTTCTATCGCCAATCGCCTGCTGTATCTGCTGCTGTTTCTTCGGCGATATCGCCATCCGTTGACTCATCTTCGCCAATGGACTCGAGGGCATATAGTCACTGGCGTCATCAGTCGTCTGTGCTTGACCTTGACCTTGACGCTGAGATTGCTGTGCCATCTTCTGCGTAGCAGCAAACTCCACGTTCGCAAGAATAGCCATCTCCTCCTCACCCAGCTCCAAATCACCAAACTCATCATCCTCATCCATGCCCATACTCTCATCACCTTCCCCATTCCCCGCCCGATGCTCCTGCTGAAGCGGATGTGCCGGCCCAGCAGCAGGTGAGTTAATCGACGCGTTGTTCAACATCTCCCTCAACGGACTCATCTCACTCATACTCTTCCTCAACTGACTCTGCTTCACCTTCTCCACCAACCCCGCAACCCTACCTAACGGCCCTTCTCTTCCCTCCGGTGTATCAAACGTTTGAATTCGTCTTCGCTTCGGTGCACTTCCGCCTAGATCTTCGCCAGTGACTGTATTGAGGCTCCGTGAGCGGTGAAGACCGGTGCGGCGGAGAGGCCGAGGGATGGCACGGGCAGGCGTTGGTGGTGAGGAGAGGTCGAGGGCGGGAATGACGGAGTTTGCGGGTCGTTGGGAATCGTAGCGGTTCCATAGTTCTTCGGCGGGGTTGGGACTTTCCGTGACTGAGCCATGCCCCTTTTCGCCCGTGCCCAAAAAATCCCGCAGGTCCTGAGCACTAATATCCTTCAGATCCGCAGCCTTCAGTACCGGCGACATTTTCCACCCAATCTTTGCTTCATTGTCCGGCGTCTCACCCGTATCCGGGAGGCGATCCTTCAACGGCGTCGAGTTAACAAGCTGTGACAAGTTGAAACGCGTCGGTGCCGGTGTCTGAGGTGGTTGCATAGGCTTATCAGACGTCGTATCCATCTCATCAGCCTTCCTCTTCGACGATGGCGGTCTTTTATCCTCCGCACTCTCGGCTCCGCCAGGGGCAGCAGGTTTCTGGAAGGCGAAGCTCTGGAGCTTGTTCATCGTATTCTTCGATATCTGAACACCCGTAAACACCCTCTTCTGCAAATCCGGCTGCTGCTGAACTGTGTTATAATGAGGATAGTTCGCGTACTGGCCGTGGTTCTGATTCTGGTAGTATCCGTTCTTGCGCGGGTAGTATGCCGGTTTCTTTCCGTGATCCGCGTCAAAGAAGGACTTTGTCGGCCGTCTGGACATTTACCGTGACATTTAGACAGAGTGTATGCCGTCCTCAGGCTTGTCGAAGGGGCTGGAGTCGGTGTCGGGGGTGTTGTTTGTTTTGTTTTGTGTACGATACAAGAAGACGCGGAAGACGCGCACGGTGCAGTGGGACGCGTTCTGCTGCTGGCCGTGGACGGAAGAGCTGCACCGTGCCTCGTACCTCACGTATCTCCGGATCGCATCGCCCCTTAATATGGAACCAAACCTCCACCACCCGTGAGAATGTCCATCTTCCCTCGAAAACCCTTCGTCTACTACACAGAGCATCGCATACCAGTCATACAGCTCTACCGCACACTACTCCTCCATGCCCAGAACCTCGATCACGTCCTACCACTCGGGTTCGACCCAGAACCATATATACAGTATGGGAATGCAGTGCCGAAGTGGTCATGGCGGTGTCGGAAACAGATACGGCAGATTTTTAAGAAGAGGAAGGGGGATTGGAGTGCGCAGAAAGTACGGGGGTTTCTTGCAGAGGCACATGAGGTACGTCGTTATCCAAACCGCATCCCTCAGACATGATTCTAACGGAACCCGCAGTGGGAATCAACCCTCCGAAAAGCAACAGAAGGAGACTCAACAGCCCTCGAACAAGTCAGATGCAAAATCTCCGAAGAAAGACTCCCACCCCCAACACCTCTACTACTCCCACCACCCCCACCAATAAAAAAGCCCAAAGTCGAATGGTGGAAAAACCCAAGATGGGCCGGAAAATCAACCCTCGCCCTAGCCTCCCCGCACTTTCTCTTCATCCGCCCCCCCTTCCGTCCACAGCCCATCCGCCTCACAATGATGATAAGAAACAAACGCAGAACCCTCCAAAAGCGTTGGGACCTCCTCCACAAACTCCAAGACCACGACCTCGTTCACGCTATTGTTGAAGACCGCTGGGAGAGGTTATTAGAGGCCAACGGTGTGGCGTATGATGGGGTGACGTGGGAGAAGGAGGTGGTGATTGCGATAAACGAATTGAAAGAGAAGATTAGGATTTCGGCAGGTGGTATACCGGTGGAGGCGATGAATGAGGAGCCTGAACTGGACGAGTAAGCTAGACTAAGTCTATCTTTGTTGTGGTGGATAGCCACCCTGATACTGCTGCCCTCGTCCTTGGGGTGGTGGATAATAACCCTGTTGCTGCTGAGGCAGCGGCACACCTCCATATACTCCGTTCACCTGTCCCTGTGCGGATCCATACACCGGATGTCCACCCCTCACAACTTGCCCCTGCTGAGGATAACCCCCGTTCACCCTCTGACCTTGTACAGGCACCAGTCCCCCAAACTGCCCCTGCAGCGTATATCCCTGCTGAGTCATTCCCTGAGCTTGCGCCTGAGGCTGTGCCGCAATCCCAACGGGTACCCTCCACCCCGACTGCATCGCACCCGGACTTTGCCATCTCTGCTGCTGCGGCTGCTGCGGCACGCCCTGTGCCCACTGTCCTTGTCCTTGTTGTACCGGTGTTCCCGGAGTATGTGCACGTGGTTGCGGCTGCGTAGCCGGCGGGGGCCACTGTCCCTGAACGGGTATCTGGCATTGTTGCTGGGGGTACGCCATTTCAGGTGGATACTGCCCTTTCCGCTGAGGAGGTTGGGTCTGCAACTGCTGCTGCGCATGCTGTTGTTGTTGTTGTTGTACCATGGGCATCGCAGGACCTCCGAATGTCCCCAGGGGCGGGCCTCGCATGCCAGCTGCTGCAGCGTAGGGCGTGGCATTGGTGTTGGGGTTCACCATCATCGGCTGCTGCTGTGGGGCCATAACCGGCGGTCTTTGTTGAGCCTGTTGCGCTGGTGTCGGAGACGGGTTGTACGGATTGTACGCACTCGGCCCCGGCCCCGGCATAGGAGTAGGTGTAGGCGTAGGCGTCGCCTTCATCTCCTCCTTCACCTGCCCACCCTCCTTGGCCTTACACCTTTCACAAACAAAAACAACACCCTCCAACGTCCCCTCATCATTTCTCTTGATCAATTCCTCCCTCTCTTTGACGTCAGAGACACACTTAATATGCGACCACCGATCACACCGCTCACAGCAAATCTGCATTTCGCCGTCATCGAGGTTGTAGCCGTATGTGCCGCAGGGGGGACAATCAAACAACCAGGTCTCCTCCTTCTCCTGCTCTGGTTCCTTCTTGGGTGAGGACTTGGGAGGCTCGGAAGTAGCCGGCGTATTTTGTTTACTCATCTCAATGCCCAAGGCCCTCATTTCCCTCTCTCTCAACCTCTCCTCCCTCGTCATCCTCCTCTCGCCCCCATCCTTAACCCCCCTCGTCTTTCTCTCTGCCTCCTCGACCAATTCCCGTCTCCTCCTCTCCTCCCTCTCCTTCTCCATCCTCTCCCTCTCCTCCGCCTCCCTAGCCTCAAGACGTGACGACCGCTTTCTCGTATTCAAGGCTTCGAACTTCTGTTGTTCTTTGAGTTTAGCAGCGGCTTCACGGGCGCGAGCTTCGGCGTCGAGGTGAAGCTGGGGGAGGACGTTGGTTGTGAGGTGGGTGTGGAGAGCGGAGGTGTTGGGGTCGGAAAGAGAGGGGGCGAGGGAGTCGGTGAAGGATTGCCACTCGTCGATGGTGGTGCAGATGCATTCCCATTTGCCATACTCAATCTTCTCTTTTGGCTCCTTCTCCTCCTCGGCTTCCTCAACCACGGCCCCACGCTTTCTCTTCCGCGTCGCTCTCGCCGGTGTCTTCTTCTTCGGTGCTTTCTCCTCGTCGTCAGGTACATGTTCGTATCGGCGGTAAAGCCGGTTATCGTCGAGAAGGTAATAACTCCACCCCAAATAATCAAACCCAATCGGATCAATTCTCCACCCCAACTGTTCCTGCTCACTCATCCCCGCACCCATCCTCTCCCTAAACCTCTCTGGATTATCCATCTGGAACTCACACAACCTCCACAGCACATCCAGCTTCTCATCCAAACTAAGCTCCATCCACGTTCTCAGCTCCGTGGCCGGCTCTGCGCCAGTTTCCTTTTCGTCTTCGGTAGGGGGAGGGCGGTAAGGTGAGGGTTGGTGGGGGCGACGGCGTTCCCATTGACGATTAACGAATTCGTCGACGTTTGATTCCGTGATTCCGCGGTTTGAGGAGATGGCCTTTACCAGCGTCAATCGTAACTTCATACACAACCCATCAACCGCATCCTCCTCCGCAAGCAACGCAAGCTCCAATTCCTCAGGCTCATACTCTGGAACCTTTAGCGCATCCCAAAACATAAACACGAACTGATTGATCGCGGCGTATTTCCATGATTGCCGTAACGAAGGTAAATCGGTAACAGATGGTGTTGCGGCCCGAGCTGCAAGTAAGGGTACCGGTGGTTTGGGGGTTGATATGGAGGTTGAGTGGGAGGATATTGAGATGTCGTCCGGCGGTGGAGATAGGGAGGAGACAGACATTCTCACGTTGGGGTGGTGGTGGTGTATGTCGAGGGCGAATTAAGGTTGCGACACTTGAGCTTCGGGAGACGCGTCGAGGTGCAGCGTACGACAGACCGCCGCGTTGGGCACGTGACGCCGATAGGCAGAAGACAGAATGTTGACTGGAAATTACTCAAGAAAACATGGCCGTTAAGCTACAGCTTCGCCTACCCCGTCTGTGCTCAACTTGGCCAACAACCAGCCCCGCACGCTTAAGCCCAACTTGGCACCGTTATCGATGACATCACCATCCACATTCATCAGAGGCTGAACTCAATCCAACGTTAAAAGAGAACAGACCCCCCCTCCCCTTCGTCCTTGTAGCATACATCCCATCAACATGTACAAAACAAAGCACCTCGTCGTCCCGCCTCGCCCTATCATCCAAGAGCCCTGCTCTTGTCTCTGGCGTCTCGTAGAACAACAGAAAACCCGCGAACACGAAGAACGCCGCCAAGTCGAACACGCCGCAAAACATACCTCAAATGCCGTCAAGCTCGTCAAGACCGCACTTGGTTTTACTGGTGCATTCAACGAGGATGATGAGACGGAGGTGGAGATGAAGCCGCATGATATCGGGGCTTCGCTTGGGCAGAGGGGAGAGGGAGATGGACATGATGAGTATTCGAAGGCGACGGGGAGGGCTGATACGGGGAGTGCAAAGAATCATAATGAGGGACGTGGGCCTGAGCCGTACGGTGTTGCTCCTGGAACGAGTGCTGGTCGCGGTGGACGTAGACACAATTACACGCCATCCACTTCCACCGTCCCCGGCGAATTCCCCTCTGAGAAGGTCTACGAGCACCCAGCTCCCGCCGCACTTCGTCTTGCCGAGCCCGTCGGCGCACCTACCCAGACCGCTTTGACTACTGGACCCGACGGCCGCCCCATCGTCCAGACCTTCAGGACCGCGCATGAGTCGCCGGTTTCTACAGGTTCTACCGCTTACGAAGAGGAACTCGCCCTCCGTGCCCAAGCCGAGCAGACCCGTATCGCGACCGCTCAGGCCGAGGCTCTGGAGAGAAGCAAGCAAAGGGAGGAGCAGCGCAAGTGGAGACAGGAGCGTGACGAGCGCGCAGCTCTCAAGTCTGGTGCCATGAGCAAGTCCTCCGGTGGAGCCTTGGCATCTCGTCCCCTTCCCGACGTCTTCGCCCGCAACATCAAAAAGCGCCTTGCGAAGTCTTCTGAGAACAAGATTGCATCTTTGATTTCTTACCGTGAGGAGTTGGTCAACATCCTCCACCTCCTCATCCCCCCTCGCCGCCCCCACGACTCCTCCTCAACCCACCCCCCGATTGTCAGCCCCGTTCCCCACACAGCCCTCTGCCATACGTGCATGGACCAACTCATGCACCACCTCTTCCACTCCCCCGCAACCCGCTCCCCTTACATCCTCGACCACTCAACCTCCGCCTACCTCTCCCTCATCGACGATTGCCACTCCTCCCTCTCAACCCACACCGGAATGGAATCCCTAACCCACTACGAACTCGACATCATCCTCCGTGCAGAACTCTCCGTGACTGAATGGCGTATCGCCGTCAAACTGGCCAGATACCACAAGAGAACGAGTTTCTTGGATATCTTCCCGGTGAGGTTGGGGGAGTATGCGCAGTTGGAAGTTAATCGGTCTGGATTGGGGAAGGGACCGGGAATTGTGGAGAGGTTGAAGGAGAAGGCGATTGGGGCTGTTGGGATGGGAAGTTTGTTTGGGGCGAGGAAGGGGTCGAGTGCGGTACAGGGACCTGGAGGGAGGGAGGGGATGACGAATGCGTTTGATCAGAGTGATATGTACTAAGCCTGTGCGTTAGCGAGCGGCTGAGTACTTTTGAAAGGCGTATAAGGTGCGGTTTTTGGAGAGTGTACGGTTATTATGATACAGACGCTGGAACGTCTACATGAATTGGGCGCTAGGCCATGGCGTTGGTGATGGGAAGGAGTACTAGTATTCGCACTATCCTAAAGGTTTAAGTTATTATCGCTAATGAATCGAGTTAATGCAGACATGAGTGCTTGGTGACCCGACCGCAGCTGGCATGACACTATGGATGAAAGCTGCGGGGCAATGCTTGTGTTGAACCACGAATCTCTGTTGTGCGCCGAGACACAAGATGCGCTGTAGGGCTACGGCGTGGGGCCTTTGAGCTGCGGCACGACATGCGCCGCAGTGTGAAAGGGCGGTACATCAGGCAGCTGCCTCGTCCGCATCTTCTCTTTCCGTCATCGCCGATTCCAATCGAGGGAAATGCTCAGCAGCTCCGGATTCGAGGGCCACCGACGGTTTCTATCATATCATCGCCGTGGCCGGCCATACCCACGAGCGCACGTTTGCATCATGACACCAAACAATGACCTCACTCGTCTCTGTTTCCTATCACACCTGGTCGAGGCTGCTCATCTGCCTATATACGATGAGGCATCTATCAAACTTTCAGTCGCCCGCGGCCTTAAAAACTGGCGGTTCAAGCGTCCGCTTCCAAGCATGCATATTTTGCTGGGCAGTCTTCCATCTAGGCCAGAATTCTTGCATTGTGATCAGCGATCCCATCTTGATCACTCCAATATCCTTCCTGGGGCAGCGCTTGAGGTCCTCGAGGCGTAGGCCATTGTCAATCACGCCCTGCCGGGCAACATGGATGTCGAAGTTGGTGTAGGCAGGCGAATGCTCCCGCACAAACTCCAGGAATCCGTCCAGATCGTCTGCTGCTGGTCCCATAAGAGGGCTTGAGCCTCTCATGAGGTTGGGGGCTGGGGTGCCTTGACTAAAAAGATGCACCATGTCAGCAGACAGCAGAGTAGGCAGCATTGGATACCCTGCTGAGCTGGGGCGGGAATCAGGTGTGCTAGCCGGTATATCCGCTCGCTGAAATGCTTCCTGAAAGTCCTTGAAGACTGAGTCAGAAATGGGAGGCCTTTCAATGGTGACCGTAAAACCAGGCTCGACAACAGCAATTGCCCAGCAGTCTTGCTGCATGTAGTTGACATTGCGACGAACTCCGCTGAGAGGGTGAATGTAGCAGATGCATGGGTGACGCTTTGAGCACATCCAGCAGGCTTGAAGTGCTGCATGCACAGTCCACCGTGCATAAAGCCGCAACTCCAAACCTTGACGCGTATCAAGGCCAACAAGCCAATGAATCTAGACAGGTTTTCGACCGGATTACCGGTCCCTATGACCAATTATGGTGGTCCGCTTACACTGGCACCCTCACTTTACGTGCAGCGGCCAGGAACCCTGTTTCCCTACCCCAACCCATACTCCCGCCCTTGATCAACATACCAAGGCCAGGCATACCAGCCAGCCCAGCCTTGGGACGCATCAGATGGAAGGTCCATGGGGAAAACAAGCTCGCTGAATGCTACATTTGTGACCACGAGGCTTACAACTCTTGTCACAATCAGATCATCAAGAAATGGCTGGGAACTGACTTGGTGGGTATGGGTTTGGATGCCCCTAAGGTTAAAAATCGTATCCAGCACTTCGCTACTCAGTTCCCAAAGGCTTATGCGCATGAAGACACGACTGGTTCAGGTGACACCGAGCATCAAACCCTTATTGAACAATGTATCGAGATCTGTCCTTGATAGGCTGAATTCAAGACAATCTTTGGAACTCGACCCAAGGTCACGCCTCTCAGTGGCATCACTTCGACAGGGTTTACAGTGATTCCCAACTCCCAGGGCGGTACCGGTACTGGCGCAGAAAATAACAAGACGGTGCCTCGGGTGAAAGCTCCAAGGATAATTCAGGCAGCCAGAATGGTTCCCAACCAGTCAATATCACTCGGAAACGCAATGCATCCACTCCCCAGCCCAAAGGCAGTGCCAAGAAACCTGCCATGGTCCAACCCATAAAAGTCGTAATGTAGTGAAAAATTTCTTGGAGCAGAAGGAAACAGCCGCATCTCTGCGCCGCATGAAGCAACAAGCTTACATTGCTTCACTCGAAAGAGAGACGAAAAAATACAGGTCCCGTTGGGCAGCCACGGGATCAGAGACCAAGGGCAAGACCATTTCTCTGCACATAGAGAAGGAGCATGAGTTTAGGATGAAGCAGCTTCAGATGTATTCAGAGCTCAAGTTACATGAACAAGGCATCACTCGTGCAGATTATATTTACTCCTTAGGCCTATCGACAATGGCAGGGAAAACCAAGGTTGCGCCCATGCAGAACTCCATGGAAGCGATTTATGACGATGATTGCCTCGAGATATCCTCGGACTATGAGCCTTAGAGTCTCCTTCCATTCGCCATGGATAAGACCCCATGCCCGATAAATTATTCCTGTCCGGAGGGGTTTCCCATGGTCGTCGAGGAGTACAGAGATGATTGATTTGTCTGTGTTTCATCGGTGAATTCTTAGACTGCTGTAAATAGGTAAATCGACGATAGAGGATTGGAAAAGAAGTGTAAATACTGCATATAGTGTGTTCATTTCCCATGCGCTCAGTGGCATGCTTAATTCCCAACCCTCGTTTAAAAAGTCTCGATATCCTCACAGTATTTGCAAAAAAGCTCGGTACAGCGCATCTGATGGCGCGCTCGAGTGCCGTTTTGATCGAAATGCGTGCGTATATCATCAGGATGATCTCCCTTGGGGTGCATGTTTACCAACCATGCTTTGTCGATGTTCGTGGATCCGTGGAGATTGAGTACGTTGGCCATGACAATGCAAGGTGCTATCCATCAAAACAAGCCTTCATTGGTTCCTTCAGAAACGGTCATGGGAAGGCACTGCAACGACCTGAATCAAGCCTGCAGCACTCTAATGATACGCTTGACCGTGACCCTTATATGGGAAACTTCACGGTTGAATCCAGCTTTCTGGGCTGTGTATCCTTGATCCTGCTTGAAGGCAGTGACAACTGACATGGTATTGCTGTATGCTGATCCGCAAGCATGTATTGGGTGGAACCAAATGTTTGCGTCTGGGTCTAGTTGCAGCAGTATGTCCTTGTAGGCAGTTGACCATGCTGGGGACCAGGTAGAGAGCAATTAAATTGTCTTATAAAACGCTGATCATCACAAACAATGGTTGCCTGAAGTGTAATGCGGTCGAGACGAGAAAGGATACTGCAAGTACTTCGGGACGAGATCTGACGAGTTAGACGAGGTGTGCCGAGATGACTGAATTACTTATTCGAATAGAGAGACGAATTTATTGAGTTAACCAGTGAAGCTCTAAAGGAAGGCATAGGGCCTTTCCTTATATACAGTTTTTCGGACGAGGGTCTAGACCCTTGCTCGGTGGCGTTCCACATTTAGTTAGCTCGGTGGCGCCGAGAGCAAGATCTCAAACGAGAGGAGTGAAGATGAGATGAGCCATGGTAGGACCCGAGACAACTCGAAGTATTTCTTCAGTTCATGGCAACCCGAGACAAATCGAGTCTCGAGTAGATCGCGAAACTCGACGTGGTTCTTCGGTTCATGACATGAAGGCTGAACTGAACACCATGACTAAGCCGTTAAATGCTTGATAAGGTTCTATGGAGTGACCTACCTGCTTTTTGCGCTGGCAGAGGTAGTCCAGACGTCGGCGTTTCTTGAGTTTTGGCATCCGGGCGAAGGGAAACAAGGTCCTTTCAACCATACCGACTACTCCCTCAAACAACCCTGCGCTGGATTCCTCGTCCCTTATCGCAATAGTCTCCCTCTCGTTGGGGTTCGGTCAATTGACGTAATCTGCGTATAACGATGATAAAGCATTTTCCACGTCGAGTGAACACGGTTAGGGTGCCCTTACCGATTCCAAACAAGTCAGCCGTTTTTAATAATGATGAACTAGTAGAACCTTGGGCGCGGAATCGAAAGAGGATAAAGCCAGCTGATACCTTACTGATGCTTGTTCACAAGCATTGTTGTTGTAGAACACCGGGTTGGTCTCGATGAAACCGAGGACAAAATGAAAATCTTCTCGATTCATTTGGTAGTAGGTCTTGAACCCTTCGTCATCATACCCGTTGAGAACCTCTTCAATGAAATGTCGGGACTTTGCCAATGGTTCGCGTGCAGAGATATATCGATTGTTTTCGATGATTCCAAGCACCCGGTAATCTTCATCCTCGGAATCGTGGGTTCCCATGGTTTGCAAATAAAGTTCCCAATTGGTGATTCGTCTGGGTGCTCCGGAGCGCGAGGATGACTGCGTTGATGGTGTCGAGGCCGTAAAAATCAATGAAGCTGAAGAGGGCGAGCATCCGTCGAAGTCCAGTTGTTCCATAGCAGCATTTTCTAAGCTATTGAAATGGTCCGAGATCGACGGTGGGCTAGACGGCAATTCAGCCTCTTTGGACTGTCGATAACGAATAATTGCGTCGCGCAGTTGTCGTTAGAGGCTCTTTCAAGGCACTTGGGAATGTCACGTGAATATCCATGGTGGTGAGTCTCCCTCGAGGCAGCTACGCAGATCATGCGCAGACCCTGAGTGATATCTGCAAAAATTTCCTAATTGGGCGCATCTGCTCGTCCGCAGGCCATTATCTTTTAAGCCATTATGTTCACGACTCTGCTCGAGCATCTCGTAAAAATAATCGATGTTTATGCAGAGTGCCATGGCAACCGAGCGATTAAAAATCAAGCAATTACTTTTTGCACAATTTTGACTACCCCCTTCCATCTGAATCAAAACAGTTGCTGTTCAAGAGCAAGATCAAGTACCAAGTAGCCAAGGCGATAGAGTAATATTGACAGCTTGGCACTCGTCATTCCACCTGAATTAACACTCGTTTGCGCACGGGTAATCTGATTCAAGGGCTCCGGGTCGACCGCGATTTCAAAACTCATTTCGCGAAAGCAAAAGTCTACGTAAGGACCATGACCCTCTCCACCACCTACAAACGCACGGGAATCATCGCCGTTACTTTCTGCACCCTCCTTCTCGCCTCTTGTTATCTCTACCAGGAATCCCTTCCACCAACAAAGCGCTGGGCCGTACCTTTCGGCTCCGACCCGCTCGGTCCACCACCACCACACCACGACCACGCCGACAAAGACCGCTGTTTCGACCCGTATAGAGCACCAGGATATCTCTACATACCCGACTCCCACTCGAACTACAACCAAACACAATGGATCCCGTTCACGGACCAACTACTCCACGTGGAGAGTCTACCGGTATCGTCATACCCACCCATCGACGGCAAAGACGTATTCTTCACACGCGGTGAAGTCGAAGAGGAGTTCCTCACCGCGCCCACAACCCCCAAGCAATGGATGCAACTCGTCAAATCCGAAAATGAGATTCGTCGTTCCGCGATTCAATCCACAAAAACCAGCGATTTCGCACCCCTCAAAGACCACGGCGTCCTTTCCTGGCTATGGGACCGACGTGTGGTGCTCGTTGGAGACAGCGTCGACCGCTTCATGACCCAGTTCTTCTGCGAGGAACTAGGGAGCAGCATGACCGAACCAGAACGACACACGACAGCGACATGCCACATCCCATCCTTCAACCTAACTATCACCCACTGGCATTTCCCAGGCACCTATACCTCCCGCCCAGACTGGTGGTGGATGCCAAACATGAAACTCATCCCATTCGAAGAACGCTGGGAACAGCTCTGGTCAAAAACCGATGTCCCATCCACCGACTCCACTCCAGGAATCCGTGGACCGAACGGAATCCCGGATTTAGTGATGTGGCAGAGTGGATTATGGGACCAACGCATGATGTGGGAATCAGGTGAAGCCCACGCGAAATCAACCGGCGGCAAGCCTTCCCCCCTCGCCTCCCGCACCCGCCAAATGTGCTGGGAAGAACTTCGCTTCACGACCTCCCGCCTCCGCAAACTTTTGCAACATCTCCACCTCTCCTTCGGCCCCGACCTCCCCCTCCTCTACCGCACGATAACAACCCACCGCGACTCTGACGCAAAGGACGCGAATCTGTACGAGATTGATCGTGTTTCGAGGTTTGTGGCGAGTAAGGAGGGAAGCGAGGTTTTTGAGTGGGGGAGGTGTTTGAGTGCGTTGACGATGTTGTATATGGATCAAACGCATCCGGCGAAGGGGGCGGCGAGTTGGTTGTGGGGGAATATGTTGTTGGAGTATTTGAAAAGGAGTTCGAAGGGGTGGGGGGAGTGTCATCAGGAGGGTCTTGCTTGGGGTGGAAGGTAGCCAGTCATATGTGATCGTGGGAGGAAAGATCCACGCACGCATTTTGGGGTTCGGATCGGTATATCGGCAGGAGTTAGAAGCGAAGCGTTTCTTTAGACTTTCTAGGATATCATACACCGGCTTACATACGCTTGGGAATAAACATGCTATGTTATGCTATACCTCTCCACATGGCACCTGGCACCGTCACGTCACCTCAACCTTTCAGAAACTCGCTCCTTTAACCTCCGCCCTCACCTTCATATTCATGGGCTTCAAATCAATCTCCTGCATCGCCTCCGTCCTATGTCCACACACCCTCTCCTCCAACAGCATGTTTGCCTCCACCGGCCTAATCTTCTCCTCCGCTGTCCCAATCGTGACATGCAAAACCTTATTAACATACTCCAACCCCGCATCTTGATGAATCCTCACAATAATAGCCATAACACGCTCATTCCAAACCAAAGTGTCGAGGTGAACGTCAACAGTTTTGATGATTCCGTTGGAGGATCTGGCGGCGGCTTCGGTGTACCATTTCCACATGTTGGAGTGGGTTTTGGAGGAGTTGGTGTGGATGAGGGTGATGTGGAATGCGTCCTGGACTCGCTTGTTCTTCTTCATGTGTTCCCAGAAGTGACGCACACTCTCGGGTTGTGCCTCAATGACGTTTTCGATGATGCGAGGGATGTCGTCCTTGATGAATGCGCCATAGTACTTGACCGGTTTCGGCTTGGGCGCTTTGACAATCTTCTTGTTGGTGGGTGAGTACTCCTCCAACGCCCACTTAATCGCCGCATCCATCTCCTTCCCATCCGGCATGCGAGGGATGATAGTCAAATCATACTCCATGAGGTCCTGGATAACCTTCTTCAAGTTCGTCTTCGTATCGGCGGCCACGTCCAAATCAACCAATGCCTCAAACTCATCATCACCTTCCTGACAACCCATGTCCACACTCTCGAATCGATGGAGGAACTCCTTCATAATATTCATGACATTTTCGCGACTGTCAGATGCAGCTTGGATCGCCTGATGATTGTCGCCACGAGCAAAGACCCTCGCCGCTGTCACATCCAAAATCTTCTTGTGCGACTCCTGAACACTCATCCCCTCGAACTCGTGCACGTACTGCAACGCAACGAACCTCGCATCCGGCATCAAACTCAAAATATCCCCAACCAACTGCTTCCGATCAACACGCGCCGAATTATTCCTATCCGCAAACACCACCTTCTTCACCTTCGCCTCATCCACAATCATCTGCGCAAATGCCATCGCACGACCCTTCCGGCGGTTATTGTTATCGTTCTGCGCATGTCCCCATCCAAACAATTTCCCCAAACACAACCCAATCGTAGTTTTCCCACTCCCAATCGACGAAACAGGGACCAACACCAATGGGCCCTTTCTCTCTCCAGCACTCTTCTCCTCAACCGCATCACGCATAGCGTTCGCCATCTCTGCTCCACTCATCCCCTGTGCCGCAATAAACGCATCCCGCATCGCAATAATCCCATGGTTGTTCTTGTAATCCTCTGCGACCTTCGGGTTCTTCTTCAGGTAGTCCTTCGTCCAGGAGATGTACCGCGCAGTAATCGCCTTGTGCTTGTTATACTTCGGCTCCCTCCCCGCAATGATCGCCTTCGTAACCTCCCTCCACTGCCTGTACATCAAGTACGGCTCGTCGAACTTGTACTTGAAGAAAAAGTCTTCCCAGTACTCCACCTGATCCGATTCGCGAGCTTTGCAGCGGACAACGAATCCTTCCACGTCAATCCCGTTCCAAGAACCAGTCTCGGCGGCTTCTTCGAGGAAGGTGCGGAGGGAGGTGACGTCGGGTTTGCGGAGGTATTCGACCTTTTTCATGCCCCAGGTTTGAGCGAAGGTTGCGACATCTTCCATACTCCAGGTTGCGAAGATTGGGGTGTTGAGGTTGAGACCGTGGAGGTAGAGTCCGGAGCGCTCAGGTGGGTATGCCAAGATGTGTTCTTCGAAGGAGTCGTCACATAACTCTGCGACGGCCGTGGCATTCAACCTCCTCAACTCCACAGCAAACTGCTCCTTGGTCTTCCCGACACTCTTCAGGTGCCTCTCAAGCCATTCTTCGCCCTTCTGTGCATGCGAGATGTTGATCTCTTCACGGGTTCCGAGGGAGTGTTTGGAAGTCACAAGAATTGTGGGCTTTCCGTCACGTGTGGTGGGAGGTAACGCCGACATGAAGATGATACATCCGTTCTCCTTGAGAGTGAGGGTGTAAGGACCCTTGGTGTTCGATTCCAGCCAGTTCCACTGTATACAACATTAGCCCATGTCGACGAAACATCCGAGAATGTTTGTATACCTGTGTCCTTTTAACCTCCCCTACATTGAAAAACTTGTCATAACCCCTTGCCACAATGACTTCCTTCCCATTCACAACATCCTTCGTCGAGAACAGTCCTCTGGCATTCGTAGGGAGCGGCTTGTTCTCCTTTCCATACGACCACTCGTCGAACTTCCAGGATTTGATGGGGTGAGGAAGGGAAGGGAGGTTGAACATTGTGCGCTTGACTGTTGGACGTTTGTCGCCATTAAGCTTGGCTTTGGTCTCCGCGAAGTGATCAAGGCGAGTAATGAGATCGTGAGCAGACTGTGAGACCCATTAGCTGCTAAATGGTTTGGATTTTATCATACACTACCCACCTCTCCTGGTGGAGCCGGAATAGGCGAAATCGTAGACATTTGTGGAGACGAGCTCGAGCCGCGGAGCCGCTTGTACAATGAGTAGGAACGAACGGAGACCGAATCGGAGACTCGGATGAATGGTGGTGAATGACTGGTGATACGACGTGCAAGCAACGGACTGTAGATTACGGAGAATGGGGCCTTCAACTTCAGCATGCGACTTCTGCACACGAAGCAGACGTACGCCGGGACTACCGCTGAGTGCAGACTAGTTTTCAGTGCGCGCTTGACAGACGTCCCAGCAGCGTTGCACTGGACCGAGCAATAGCCAGGGAAGACAGCGGGTGAAGGACAAGCTCGCACAGGACGAGTGCCGGCCGAGAAGTTTCGGGGCTCCCACGCTCAGCCATGCGCGGTACCTCACTAAACGCCGCGGTGGAAGCTGGGCGAACCGGCGAGCATTCATCCAAACACCAACTATCATGGTAAGCATTCACCCTGCTCAAGTCATACAGACAGCTACTAATGGCTGCTCAGAGCACCAAGTCTGACCCTGCCAAGCGCCGCCTCGCTTTCGGCATCATTGACTTCCTTCAGGATGCGATGAACGACGGTACCGTTACCGCTGATGACAAGGACTCCATTGAGGTCGCCGGTATGCTTGAATGTGAAAATAACGCAGGATGCATGCTGACGGTTCTGCGCAACAGTTCAGTGTATCTCCGACGTTTTCGGAATTGACGCATCCGACGAGACTCAGCGCTCCACCATCGGCATGGGAAACCAGAAGCTGATGCAGATCTTTTCTGTGTACGAGAAGACCCGCGAGAAGATGGTAATTTTGTGAGGTTAGTTTCCGTACTTGACAAATTAACCAAAGTCCCAGGGCTCCCAATCCATTCCCTCCACCTCCGGCCCCACCGGCCCCTCCGACGAGGACAAGGCCAAGGCCGAGGACCTCAAGTCCCAAGGTAACGCCGCCATGTCCCGCCGTGACTACCCCACCGCAATCTCCCTCTACACCGAGGCCCTCACCCTCACACCCTCAAACCCCATCTACCTCTCCAACCGCGCCGCAGCCTACTCCCAATCCGGCCAACAAGACCTCGCCGCGGCCGACGCTCAGACCGCCGTCGACATCGACCCCAAGTACGGAAAAGGGTGGTCGCGTCTCGGCCACGCAAAGTTCGCGGCGGGTGATGCGAAGGGCGCGATGGAGGCTTATAGGAGGGGTGTCGAGGTTGATCCGTCTAGTGAGGTGATGAAGAAGGGGTACGAAACCGCCAAAAAGCGCGTTGAGGAAGACGAAGCCGAAGCTTCCTCCTCCTCCTCCCCCGCCGAACGCTCCACCCCTGCTGCCGGTGCCGGTGCCGGTGCTGGCGCTGGTGGCATGCCCGACCTCTCCTCCCTCATGGGCGCCCTCGGCGGCGGCAGCTCCGGCGGCGGCATGCCCGACCTCTCCTCCATGATGCAAAACCCCATGATCGCCCAAATGGCTCAAAACATGATGCAATCCGGCGCGCTTGATTCGTTGTTGTCGAACCCGCGTATGGCGCAGATGGCGTCTCAGTTCCAGAATGGGCAGATGCCGAATATTGGGGAGTTGATGAATGATCCGGAGATGAGGGATATGGCGAGGAATTTGATGGGTAGTGGTGCTGGAGGTGCGCCTGGTGCGCCTGGTGCTGGTGCTGGTGCGGGAGGCAGGTAAATGTACAGTAGGATAGAGGAGATAAGGGGTGTGTGTTATGACAAGAACGAATATGACTGTTATCTCCTGAGCTCATAAAGCGGTGGTTTTGTGACTGACATGTTCCAAAAAGCTTTTAGTTAGCAATTACTAAGTATACTCTTCAACCAGATTAAGTAAGCAGCAATTCAAGATCCTCCCACGCCAAACGAAACACCCTACAAGATATACCTAAACCTCTTCAACCCATTCTCCGCCTCAAACGCCAACCCCTCCCTCTCCTCCCTCTCCTCCAACCTAACATTCTCCCTCTTCAACAACCACCTCATCGCCAATGTCCCACCAATAACCAACCCCGAAAACACCACGAGCACAATCCACGCCATCGTATACTTCGGTCCATCCTGCGCCGGGAACAAATACGATCCGTACAAGTTCGCGATATTCGAGAATCCGTTCACGAGGGCGAGGGCGGTCGCGCGTTTAGCTGGTGGTCCGGGAATGGAGGAGGAGACCCAGGTTAGGACGTTATTGTACGCGGGGTAGATTCCTGCTGTCATGAGGAAGAGGGCGACGTAACGGGGTGCGATTGAGGTTGTGGGGGTAGCGAGCAGGATGATGTACCCGGCGATCGCGAAGAGGACTGGGATTACGATATGGATTGTCCGTTCGCGGTGGATGTCGGCGTGACGACAGACGAGGTAGGTGGAGAAGAAGGCGGCGAGGTAGGGTGGGGCGGTAAGGAGGAGGGTACGGGTTGAGTCATAGCCGAGTGTCTTGACCATTGTTGGGAAGTAGTTTGTGAAGCAGGCGGAGGTTGTGATGGCCGTCTGGATGAGCATGAGGACATAGATCTTGTAATCCTTCAACCCCATCCTGAATCCCTTCCACAAACCGACGTCCTCGGTGGGAACACCGGGGGTTGCACCGCTCGCCTCGATGAGACGGTATTGCGCGATGATCCTTTCTTCTTCGGTGAGCCATTTCGTGGTCGCCGGGAAATCGGGCAAGATAAAGATAGCGACGACAGCGACGACGATGGTCATCAAGCCCTCAATGATGAACAACCAGCGCCAGGCATCGAGCCCTCCGGCACCTTGCATACCCTTCAGGATACCAGCCGAGATCAATCCACCGAAGGCTCCCGAGAGAAGGGATCCAGAGTAGAGGAGTGCGGTACGCTGACCGAGTTCGCGAGGAGTGTACCACGACGACAACAAGTACAACGCACCCGGGAAAAACGGTGCCTCAACAATACCTAAAAAGAACCTCACAACAACCAAACCGGTGTAGTTATGCGTAGCCGCCGTACACCCACTCACAATCGCCCAAACAACCATACAAGCCGGCAAAAACACCGACGGCTTCGACTTCGACAAAAACAGGTTCGACGGCACCTGACACAAGATGTAACCAGCATACAAGATCGAAATAACCGTATTATAATCCGTCCCGACCAACTTGGTATCCTTCTCCAATCCCTGGAGACGAGCCTGCGCGATTCCGTTGCGGTCGAGGTAGTTGAGGATGTAGATGAGGACGAGGAGGGGCATCATACGGAGGTCGACTTTGCGGAGGAGACGTTTTTCGATGGATTTCCGCTCTTCGGGGGTGAATTGGGAGGCGGCGGAGAGGAGGGCGGCGTTGGTGCCGGACTTGAACTCGTGCTGGGAGGAGGAGCGGTCGCTGTATTCTTGCATTACGACGACATCTTTGGAGTCGTCGAAGTTGGGCTGGGTGGTAACACGGTCGGCCATTTTCCTGATCAACGAACAGCACCTAGACCTTGCGATCTCAATCAAGGGCAGGGCAGGCCGGCCTTATATACCCCTCCATGCCCATTCGTAGAACCCACGAACTCTAAGTTCCGCTACGACTTGCCCCCCCGGGTTACATATGTTGATCGGTGTGGGGTTCGAATGTGGGGACCCCAAAACAACAGCCGGTGGGTGCCATGATCTGGGAGCGGTGGTGGCGCCGATTCTATAGCCGACGATTCACCCGGTCGGTTATGAAGTGACGGCTGATATCGATCAGTGGGGCAGTTGAGGTTCACTTGACATGCTCAACAGGGCGGTGAAGCCGGTGTGACAGCCGTGGAAGCAGGCTATTCGAGCTTGTTGGCATGTTCGAACTGCTCGTACTGCTGCAGATGGGGGGGGGGGGGGGGTGAATGTTGCCGACCAGCGCGCTCCGCACCGGAACACTTCCAAGCCATTCATGCACATCACCCAGAAATAACCGCTGTAGGCGACGACGGAGGAACCATTGTCCGTCAGTCTTACCTGTAAATATTGATACGCCGTATACCTTTCCTACCCTACCCTAGACAAATCCCAAAACCATTGTATGACCAAATGCATAAGCGAGATCAATCCTTCATTCCAACCTCTTCCACGGGGCCCACGTCGCCATTCCTGGATCATGGTTGTGCCCGTTCGGGATCATGACCGGGAACGAATCAGCCACGTGCGGTGCCTCCTCCGCAAACCCCCGAGCCGTCTCCAGCTCCACGTCGCCAGGACTTGCCTCTCCATCTCCATCAACAACCTTATCCAAATCTATGAGCAGCTCCCCTCCTTCCTCCCGCTCAAACTCAATCGTAGGATTACTATCCCTTGCCTTCATCATAACCGTCCTCCCGCCAATCATCTCCAAAGCCTTCTTCATCCCCCTCAACCTCGCCCTCTCGCCTCTAACAACTCCCCTGACAAACGCCTTCAAGCCCTCCACCCCCTCCCCACCCCTCTCCTTCCATACACAACTCATCTCCCCCGCAACCCGCGCATGCGCAAACCCAAGCTCACTCCCAGCTCTCCCCGCCTCGCGTCGTGCCTCTCTCACTTTGATCTCGAGTCGATGTCGAGTTTCGTCTTGGATTGTGCCGAAGAGGGAGAGTGGGAGACGGGGGGTTCGGCGGATAGTTGCCTCGGTGCGGGAGGCGAGGGAGGAGGCGGTGCGGATTGTATCCAAAAGCTGCCGTGGGCGGTGGGTCAACGCGGAGAGAAGACCCGTGTTTGTGGAGGTTATGGAGGAGAGGAGGGCGAGTAAATCATCGTATGGCGTAGAATCATCATTCGACAACTCAGTCGCCATATGCTGTAATGCCGCAATATGCCCATCCTTCCCCAAAAACCCAAGCTCGCTCAACCCACCCAAAGTCTTCGCACCGATCCGTGTCGCAGTCGATATTCCTGTCATGAAGTCAGTCAGTAAAGGCTATAAGACTAGTACCAGGATGAATATATGACATACGTTTTCGCACCTCCCACACCCTCCTCAGACCCCCATCAACCCGCTCCCACCCCTCCTCCAACTCCTCCATCTGCCCCCTCGAATGCTCATACCAAGTCTCAATGACCCCTAACTCCGCCTCCCCCTCTGCCGGTGTCCAATTCGCCCAAATCTCCTCTTTACTTACCGCCGTATTCTCCTTTGTGCGTTCCAGGATTAAGCCATACTGCAGCTCAGGAATGAGTATGAATTCCCACAACAGCTCATGCGAACAGAGTGTCGAGTGCCGTAAAAGTGCGTGTAAGAAGGCCGTAAGATGCAACGAAAGCATATTCAACAAACTCCGTGACGGTTTCGAAGGTAAGAGACACGGGTTCGGGATATTCCTCGGTAACGCCGGAAACCACGAATCCGGATTCTCCTGCCGTAACCGATCGAGCAGAAACTGGAAATCACCATAGGATCGCCACACCGCCGTCGTCGACGCAGAATCGTTCGGGATACCACTCTTAATCAGGAACCGCACACTCGCGTCTTCCAGAACCGTGACACGAAGAATCGCGGTACACCGCTCCTGTATGACAGGCCTAGCCCATAATGACAACTCTGTACCCAAAATCCCCGTTAGCACTCAACGAGACGAAGGGGGAGTGACGCTTACCATCAAACCTCTCCCTCATCCCATCATCCTTACAAACCTCAACAGGCCTAACCCCCCTCCAATCCCTCACATCAACACTCATCCCCATCTCCCCACGCGCACACAAAAACTCCAATACCTCCATACTCCCACACATATGCACAACCGTCATCCCCTTCCTATCTCTCACCCACCGATCAACCCTCTCACTCTCGAAAAATACTCGTAGGAGATCCACACGCCCGTTTTTTGCGAAGTTGAGGAGGGCGGGGAGGCTTTTCGCGTTGGGGGCGTTTACCTCGCCCTCGGCCTTCAGTAACTCTCTCAAACAATCCACATCGCGGATGATGTGGAGCAAAGTATTCCCCTTCACCCCATCCCTATGGTCAACCAGCCTCACCTCCCTCCCCCCCTTACTCGCCCGCAAAGCTCGTATCGCAGACAGGACCATGGTGCGGTATTCAGTATGGTCATACATTGTACAAAGCGTATACAACGGCGTCTGCCCATTCTGGTCCCTCGCGCCCCACGGCAAGAGCTCGCCTACCTCGTCGATGAGCCAAGGCATGTTGACGATACAATGCGCAACGGTCCTCTTTGTAAAATCCGCGTACGCCAGATACCGTCTCAACTCGGACTTCGTCGCACGGGGGAGAATACGCGACAATATCAGTCGTACGAGTCCAGGTTCTTCACGCTGTACAGCTTCCGCTAGCGGCGTCATCCCCCTCTCGTCAACATCCGTCACCCAGAACCCCGTAGCGAGTTCCCCCCACCCCGCCAACGATGACAGGCTCTCCTCTGAACCAGCTTTGACAGCCTGCATCACTGCACTCTCACCCCTCCCATTCTGACTCCTCGCCACGCTCTCCAAACTAATCTCCCCATCATTCCACGACTCTCGCCACCGCCCCACCCTCCCCTCCCTCACCGCCGTCCAATACTCCTCATTCACCCTCCCCACCCCCGCCAGTTTGTCCTTGTTTTCGAGGATATAGAAAAAGACAGCTTCGAGGGTGCTTAGGGCGTACGCCCACTCCCCATGCCCCGTATCCCCCAACGAGAATTTCCGCATATATGCGAGCGTCGTATCCAAATGGTCAACATTACACCTCAGCACGACCAACAACATCAACGGAATCAAATAATCCGCCGAAACGAGCGCGCCCAATCTTGGTTTCTCACTCACCTCCGCCTCTGTGTGAGGATCTCGTTGTTGTGCGTGTGTAAGTATGACCAGCACATCCACCAATATCTCCAACTTCTCCACCGCCGTCCGCGCAGCCCTAATCCCATCAAACCTCCCCACCGCCCTCCCCAACCGCGCCCTAACCTCCCCATCGACAACCGGTACCCCAACCTGTCCCACATCAACCCCCCTCGCAGCCTCAATCGCCTCCCTCAACGCCTGATCCTGGTGGCGGTGGAGGTGCGCAAGTCGGAGAAACAAATAATCATGCGCGCGTTCCGAAACGAATTTCTCGATGAGACGTTCGATCCCTTCACCCGTGACCGAACTCGTGTGAACTAGTTGCGATACGGCACCATCATCGACGCCCTTAAACAACTCCACGGCGGCATTCGTCACGTCCTCGACCTTGCGGACCAACGCGTCTTCTTCGTCTTCGTTATCTCCCTCGGATGGTGGGTGGTCTAGGTGTTTCTCGAGTTGGAAGTCGTTGAAGTGTTTGAAGAGAGTGACGAGGCCTGGTTCGAGTTGTCGAGAGATGGCGGGGTAGGCGTCGAGGAGTTCACCAAATGTCGTAAATGTTCGGAGTTTTCGGGGACGCCAGGGTCGGGCGGACCAGTCTGAGGGTGATCCGATCAATGGTCTATCTAGATAGTACACCAAGACTGGTGGTGTCGACCGAAGGGAGGCCGATTGGCCATGTGGTGAGGATGGGATGAGGTCGTCCGAGAGTAACTTTGCCCGATGAAGAGTCTGGAAACCCTTATGTCCGTACACGTGATCTTCCTTTATAATAACCGTACGACCATTAAGAGTCGTATATTGTCGTGGACGGTGTCTGGTACTCCCCTGTGGTAACGCCGATGCTCTCAACACATGACTCGCTGTGTATCACGTTGTCAGCAATTGTCGTGGACAGCCGGCACGGCCAACACACACCGAGAAACTCCTCAGTCATCAATGCCGCCCATTCTAAGCCACTCTCTCTATCCCACCCCGCGAGACTCTCAGCGACAGGGCAGAGGATCACCACGCCGCCGGGCCCGGGATGGTTCTGGCATTGTGCCAAGAGGTCGCGGATGCGTTTGTCTTTTGGGTCTGGTTCTAGTAGCGCTTTGAGGAAAGCATTTGGGTTTGGCATGCCGGGATCGCGATCAATTGCAAAGTCGGGTCATACAGAACGGTAAAGAGTGTTCAGTGTGGAGGTGTATACGGGGGTGTCTGGAGTGCAGCGCACTGCATGGACTTGCATGCGTACGTGGGACGTCATGGCGTGCGAATTTCCACCTCTCTTGGATTTTTACAGCGGGTCTTGCTGAACGGACGGTCCGCGAGTTCGGGGAAGGGTTGGAATTGCTTGACGTACATATGGCCATGCATATGGGTATGGGGGTTGGAGCTCGGGTCCCGGAGGCGCATCTCCAGATCCGAGACCGTGCGAAAACTTTGAACATCGATTTTCGAAAACGTAGCCATGGAAAAGATGGCACCAACGAACAGAATGATACACGGCGGTCAATTGCATCAAATAAAGAAAACCCCATAATAAGCATACCAAGCACCGACCATCCCACTCCATTACCCTAACCATCCCAATCTCCCCACAAATCCATGAAACTCGATACAAATGTCGAACGTCGCTCATGTATGCGCCCTCGAGCCATCACTCCATCACCTACCTCTAAAGCTCCACCTCCTTCGCGGGCGTCGTAGCCGGCCCCAACTCAACCTCCATTTCCTCATGATCACCCCTCCTCCCCCGACTCTCGCGCCCAAACCTTCCTCCTAAACCAAACAAGCCCGTCTTCTTCTTTGCTGGTGTCACGGGTTCGTCGTCCAACGGTAACTCCTCGAACTCGTCGCTCTTTGTTCCCACGGTTTGTGCTGTGTGCTCGTTCGAAGCGGAGACTGGCTCGGCGAGTGTTGGTGGGACGTTTGGTTGACGTGCTGTAGCTACTGGTGTCGCTGAACGTGCAGAATCCAGGGAAAAACGTCCAGTACCACCCCCAAACCTCTCAAAACTCGCCCGAATACCACTTCCCCTCCTCCCATCCCTCGCACTATCCCTGTCCACGTTAACGGGCATACTCGCCGTAATATCAAATGACCGTCGATAACCATCGAGTGACTCGCGTGGGATGACGAATTGCTCGTCTGCGGGTGTGAGGTTCGTTGGTGACTCGTTCCGGTCGCGGGAGGAGGTTGTTGTTGTGCTGGGGTTCTTGCGGCGGAGGGCGGACAGGAAGCCGGTTGTTCGGGTTGCTTCGGGGGGTGAGGGGGGTAGATATATCCCGGAGTCTTTCTGGAAGGCTACACACGCACCCCATGTTAGTATCGCGAACGTTGTGAAGGGTGACGAGGACGTGACGGGAGGGGAGGGAGCACGTACTGTTTAGTTTAAACGCCTGCTCCTTCTTCGACTCGCTTATCGGTACAGGCCCCTTTCCACCAACGATTGCGGTATCGGATAACTCCCTATCCAGCCTCTCTCCCCTCGCAATCCGTGCGACATCGACGGAACTCCGACCACTCGCCGTCTCAACTCCCGTCGGTACCGGACTCAGTAGTTCCTCGTCAACAGCAGCTGCTGTTGGCGCATTTACAGCTTCGCGCACCACGGCGGGCGCGGCTGGTTCGGGATGGGTGGAGCGCTTGAAGGGGTTTTTGATGAAGGGCGGCATCGAGGATGGTATTGAATGCTAGGGTTACTGAGAATGAGAAGGAGAGCGAGAAGGACTGGAGGTGTTGTTCGCTGTCTGGGGATCGGAATGAGCGGATATGGTGCAGCCGTGCACTGGGCCGGGGGCGGCGCCCTCGACGGCAGTGGTGTAGTGGGGTGCAGCTGGAAGGGAAAGAGTAGCGAACATCTGGTAAGAGGCCATTCGTCTTTTAAGTATCAATTTGAGTCTAATTGTTCAATTCCATGTTTGTAATCAATTCTGGTCACAAGGTGTACGGCGTGCCTCACCGCAATCGCGGGTCTCTACGGTCATACAAACAAAAAGACCTTCAAGGTCCATTGACGACACAAATTGCTCACAAGATACCCTGACTTCGATCCCATCCAGTCAGCAATTGCAGTCAAGCATGTACACAGAAACTTCTTTCCACGCCTCACATCTCCTCGCAACAGCGCCCTCATACACTCTCAGCCCACCCCCATACCCCGAAGACACAGTCCCCGTCACCCCTCCGCCGACAACAAGGGAAAACCCAAAGGAGAAATACGCGTATGACTATCTGAGCCAGAGATCAGGTGTGTTTACGGCGAAGGGTGGGAGACGGGTGTTATGGCGCGTAAAACAACAAACTACACTCCTCCTCGCACCCCTTGATCTATCGGGTGAGAGTACCAGAAGCACACTCGTACAGTTCCCGGCGGAGGTTTTGGACGTCTCATCTCCTGATACGAAATACTTCCATATCCTCACCGCCGCGAACTTGATCTATACCCTCCGTCTCGCAACTGGCGAGTTCGATGTACACTTCCCACCAACATTCACCTTCCATGCGCCATTCTTCCTACAATCAGTCTCAGCAAGTACAGTCCTCGTCGCACTCAACAACGGCTCCGTACTCCGTCTTGACCGTGTCAACCAGGGCTGGACCGAGAATATCTACACCGACAACTGGGGAATCAGCAGCGCGATCAAGGGTCTCCTCCCATTTGGTGGACGAGGGCGGATACCATCTAACCTCGTCTGCTCCATGAAGGTCGTGCAGAAGCACAACATCCTCCTTACTGTCTCGATTGACGCGAAGCTCAAGGTGTGGTCGCTTGATCGGGGACACCTCATCCATACCATCGCCTTGAATAACGCCAGACCGACGACGCCGACGGATCAAGTGCTACGACCTTCACGACAGGTTTACACTCTCGTTCCCGCCACGAAGGGACCGTATGCGTTTTACGTCATCGCAGCATCCGGCTCCTCGCTCGACAGTACGTTCACAATGTTCGGTGCGCCCTCATCATCACCTACCGACCTCGCTCCACTTCATCCCGACATCAAGGCTCGGGCGCCTGAGGGGGGAGCTGTGTGGCTCCTCGCCGATCTGGTAATGACCCGCGAGGACAAAGGCCGTACCGCCATCTGGGCCCTCTGGAAGTCCAACACCTCGTCCTCCATCCAACGTCTCGTACTCGACCCAACCGCGACTATGTCAATCGAACCAAACGCACTAACCCACGGCGCTGTGGGTGGTACGGATTTCGAAAATAAATGGGAATCAGTCGGCAGCGACGTCAAGAGTAGTTTGAAACCACTCGAAGGCGCCGGCTCAATCGCCACCGAGGGTGGACAGGGGTCAACGAGTGCCGATATCGCCGAGTCGTGGGCGAACAAGATCTTCATGGCGGGACGATTCAGTATCCCGGCGATGCACTTCGCCCTAACGATCTACGCCGAGAACTTCCGTCCTAACTCCGCTTCCTCGGGTGCTTCTACGTTTAGTAGTGTGTCGACGCTAGGAGAGTCCACGGTGCGGAGTTTAAGGAGTCAGGCGATGAAGTTGGTTGGTACGAATTGTGTGTTGGAGACCGATACCGTAACGGGACAGCTCGTCTACGAGAAATACCGGATGGATCTCGCACTCGAATGGGGACGGTTCGCGAGGGTTTGCGCAGAGTTTGAAAGAGCTGGGACCGAAGGTCTGAGTCTTGGTGTGGGCGAGGAGGGAGATATCTGGGTTGTGAGGGCTGAGAGGGTTGGGTTGGTGAGGCGTGCAAGTGCATTGGAGACGGCTGTTGAGGTTGCGAGGTCGGGGAGCAAGAGGGTTACTGATGTCGCTGAACTCCTGAGAGCCGCTAGGGTGCTGCGACAAGGGATTTCGGAGGAGGGGGTGGATGATACGGTTGTGGTACTCACTGAAGACGCTTCACAGTTACCGAATTTCTCGGTCGAGGACCGGGTGTGGGGGGTTTGGGAACGTGGGGTCGGTGGTGGGGAGGGAGTTGCGACAAAGGATGCCGTGCACGAGATTCTGGATGCGGTTTCGGAAGGGGATGAGGCCGTAACACGAATCCTCGACATGCTCTGCGTCGACGCACTACACGGAACAGAATTTCCAATCCCGGCGACGCAGGGTGAATTGAGTATTGTTGGTGCGGCATTGTTGAGGAGTGGGGTTAATGAGATGGTAAGGGCACGGTGGGAGGTGTTGTTGGATGTGTTATTGCTGGCGGTGTTTTCGGCTTGTAATGAAGAGGAGGTGGATTACTTTGATGGGGTGGACGCTATTTATGATCGTGCGTTGGGGTTGTGGAAGGGATATAGTATCCTCAAGCAGGCGATTGATACGTTCACCGGTGAGGGCAAGGCCGATGAGACTGTCTTGGAGGTGGTGAAGAAGGTCAGCGCTGTCAACGTCGATCTTGAGGTTTTGAATATCTCGGGTGCGTTTGAAAAGGTATTAGGTGAATTGAAGGCCGTGGCGGATGTTGACAGGTTCGCGATCCGGGTTGCGAGTGCGCTCGTTACTGCTGGTCATGTGGAGGAAGCTGTTGGGTTTCAGAGGTGGTTGCCGCAGAGTGCGTGGGGTGTGTACGTATGTGGTCGCGTATTGCTCGAGGCGGAGAAGTATGATGAGGCGGAGAGGCTGTTCACGAAGGGTGCGGTTGGTGTTGCTCAGTCTTCTGAAGAAGGGAGCGTTGATCTTTTGGAGGAGGGAATTGTTGGGGATTTGTTGGTGGAGGGTGATAATGCTTTTGGGAACGGAATGCCGTATTACTACGCGCACGTCGCGACGTTGTTTGAGAACAAGTTGCAACATGATGCGGTGGTACAGTCATGTCAGAAGGCCTTGATTGGATTGACAATCCTGCCGGTGCCGGATGAGATCCTTGAACAGGAAATTGTGCAGAGGATGCTCAAGGCTGCCATTGCAGGCGGAATGTGGGATGAGGCTTACACGGCCATGACCCGCGTATCAAGCGCACCTAGACAGAGAGATGCCTTGAAGGAGCTTATCCCGAGCATGTGTGAACAGAACATGGCGGAACGGATGTGTTCGTACCCATTCTTTGGTTTGTTAGATGAGGTTGACGCGATCCTTGCCCAGAAGGCGAAGAACATGGTTGATGTCCGCGCACAACCGCAATACCACAAGATTCTGTACTCTTGGCGTGTAAGTCACTCCAACTTCCGCGGTGCTGCGAGCGCGATGTACGAATGTGCACAGCAGCTTAGGAACGTTGCGGCATGGCGAGGAGCTGAGTACCTCGAGATTACGGAAGCTTACTTGTCCGTCATTACGGCGTTGAGCTGTGTGGATCCTGATAATGCATGGATATTTACGCATAGGGTTAAAGGTGGTGACGAGCAAACTGAGAAGAAGATTAAGATTGGGAGGAGTATGGAGGGCATGATCAGGGTGGTTCTTAGTCTGGATGAGATCCGGAAGGAGTACAAGGATGCATTGACGAAGATGGAGACGTTTCTGGCTTTGGAGGTTTTCAAGGATAGCCGGGCTTGATGCGCGAGCTCGAGCTGAATGCCGTTCGATAGAAATGAAGGATGGGACATCACCAGGACAATGGCAATTCGAACAGCCGGTGCTGCTCCAGCTGGCTTAATCTAGTAATACCGAAGATCTAAACTAATTACTATTGATCGAGTTCTCGAATAGTCTTGCATGTGCGAAAGCTGGTTAGGTGAAACGTACCCATGGTCCGTGTAGCTCAACGTCTGCCGAAAGTGAACCGTGCGACACTGCCAACAGCGCGATGGAAGGCTACGCGATGATCATGCCCAAACTTCGATCGTCACTGCCTGCCCTAGCAATATATCGCTGAATAAGCTTCGCCTACGCCAATGTTCTCTTTTGTGCTTTAAATACTTCTTCTTCGCCCACTTACTGTCACTTCACCGCTCACCCTCGCTTTCTTACTCGAGAGCAGCATTCACTCCTTTACACAGCCTATCAGCTCAAGCTTGAGGCTCACACATTCTCTTTTCTTTTACTCTTATTTCCTGCCCGGCTTCTCCTTTAAGCTTCGTCCGAGCTACAGCTTTAGAAAGGCATCAATGTCGATTATTACCGGTTGGCAAGCGTGGCAGCAGATTGCTCTGGTAGCCTTCTGTTGATTTTGTCAGATGTTGAAGAAGCTGAACGTGGTCTACAGTTGTTTGCCGTTGTCTTAAGTGCGACTTTGTTGGTCTCGGTGTTCAGCGTGATAAGGAATAGACAAAATCTGAGGAAGTATGAGAAGGTGAGTCCAGTTGCCCCTGAGAACTGAATAATACATGCTGACCCTCTCTCAAGGCGGCCGCTAGAGAGCAAGCAGAGAAGGAAGCTATCGCCTCTGCCGTGGCCGAAGCTCTAGGCAACCTTGAGCTTGGTCCTAAGCCTCCAGGGACAGCCGACTCCTCCTACCTCTTCGGCGTCCGAGCAATCGAGGCCGGCATCACGGCAGGGATCCATCAAAGTCCACGCTCTTCGTTGGCCGAACCCCGTCACAGTAACGGCTCCATCGGCTCATTCGTTCGTCCTATTCCGCACAGTCCACGCTCCACCCGCCTCCCACCCTTGGTTAAATTCTCGCCTTTGAGCTCACCTGCAATCTCCAGTTTCCACCTCCCCTCTCGTCCCTCGGTATCCGCCGGCGGCGCCAGCTCTTCTTCCATCAAGCCCACGTCCTCTGGCCAGAACTCTCAAGTCAACCGTCCAATGAGTCAGGTCTACGATTCTGCCGTCGTGCTCGCCGAACCCGAACATGAGCTTCCCGCACCCAAAGGTCTCACGCTCAACCCGAATTATTCCACCACCACCCTCAAGAATAAAGACCCCAATGTTGCAGAGACAGGAGTACTCAGGCCTCGCCGTTCTACGCTACAAATTCCCACGACCCCTACGACTCCCACTGCCCCGATGCCCGTTCCCCCCGCCACCGCGCCCGGTCCTACGTCTACCGTTAACGGCATGGCTGCTATTCAGTCTTTGCCGTTTCACGAGCCGAATCCTGAGGTGGTGGTTACCGATGTACCTTCTGTTATCTTGACTCCGAACCCTTCAGACGAGCAGCGCGAGGAGAAGTGGTCTGAATTCGTGCAGCGAGATGTGGAGTCTGGGAAGTATCTCGGCAAGAAGCGTCAGAGCTTGAGGAGGAGTATACTGGAAGGCATGACGAATGTCGGTACTGTTTTGAGCTCATTGAGGAAGTCGTCGTGAGTAATGGAGTGATGAAGGGGAGATACGTTGACGTTTTGCCTTTTTGACTGTCATTCATCTAATACCCCATACGCTCATTTTGACAGGATGGTTTTTTGCTTAGTGTGCGGTCGGTCTTTCGTTTTATGGCCATTCGGATTTTGCTAGGGTATATAATCTTGTAATTCAGATGATTGTGGATGCTATAGTAATGCTCCTATCCATGTGGTAATTCGTTCCCTCACACACTCTCACCCATTTTCATCTTAAGCAATAACCTCCAGAATCTTCTTAACACCACCACTAACCTTATCCTTCTTCGACGCAGCCTGAATCGCCGCCTTGTGAGACCTCAACTTCCTCACCAACCTCTCCCTCTCCTCCCCCTCCAACGTCTCCAACAACGCAATAACGACATAAGATCCATTCGAAGAAGCCCAGTCAGCGAGGTGCTTCTCGACAACCGGCAACATCATAGACTCAAACTCAAGCCTAGGCTCAACCTTATGGATCTTGTTCTCCTTAGGATCCCAGTGTCCACCCGAAACGAGGGTCTTGTACACACGGGAAGCGTAGTTGAAGTTAACGGGGTGCATGACATCCACAACCGGTGACTCCCTGGCGATGTTGAGGATGGCATCCAACGCTGCGCCCTTATCACCGTTCGCAAACAACAACGTCTCCGTAACAACCTGCGAACTCAAACTCTCCTCGACAAGCTTCGTGGGCTTAGACGCAATCAATTCCAACAACGGCTCCGAAATGAAACTCAGAAGCTCCTGACGACGGACTTCGGGATCCTTCTTCGAGGTAGTTTGACGGATTTCCTTGACGGCGTCCAACATCTTTGTCGACTCCTTGAAGAAGTAGCGAGGGTCGCAGCCGCAGAGGATGTAGAGCAAGACACGACGGCCGTACTTGTGCATCATCATTTCCTGAAGGTGAGGCTTCAACTCGCTCAACAAGGACTTGTTCACCAAGACGGTATCGTCGACAGTCTCGAAGATGGCGCAGAATACCAAGCAACCGTACTCGTCCATCGCCAACTTGTGCGCGTAAGGCTTCAAGGCACGAACAAGAACTTTCCTGTCTTTAGGGGTTCCCTTGGCGAAACACAGCATCGCGAGGTCAGAACCGTCCTTGGTGTGCACAACCTCCGCAATGTTCTCCTTGATGTTATCCAACATATCCGCAAACTGCGCATCATTGCAGTTGTTCATATAATCATGCAAAGCTCTGTGAATAATCGTGAAACCAATCGATCCCTTCTTCAACGACCCAACAATCGACTCCGCCAAATTTCTCAAAATCAAATCCTTCTTCTCCGGATTCGCCTTCAAGATCTCCGCCAACGTCTTTGCATCATTCTTCTCACTCTTGAAAACCGCAAACTCCTGTCCGTAGAACTCCTCCAACAAGGCGTTCTTCTGCGCAGTGTTTCCATAATCACGGAATGCGTCTTCGAGGACATAGGCCGCCTCCTTGTGCCTAATCAACTTTCTCACATTTCCATAGAACTCCGAGAAGATCCCCGCACGAGTCGCAGCGGAGCCATAGTGCAGACACTTAATTACCGTATACTTTCCATACGAAGATTTCGACATCTCGACATACCTCCCCTTCAACGCCGCCGCAAAAGCCTGTCTCTGCTCCTGGCTTCCGTATTTCAGACAGGTTTGAATGAATCTACTCGCATCATGCTTGAAAATGATCTCCGTAACATTCCTCCTAGTCAACTCGAGCATCTCATCAACCAACGCCTTCCTCTCCTCAACGGGCAACTTCTTGAGACGGAGTTTCTCCCAGATCTTCTTGGCGGCGGTCATGGTGTCGGCGTGGGGTTTGTTGGCTTTACGCTCTGCTGCCAATACTTTCTGTGCCTTGTGCGCTTCCCTTGACGCATTCGGGTCCTTGGGCGGCTTTTGCTCTCCGTTCTCGCCATCCTCCATCTCGACATCCTCCGCATCCTCATCGACCCACCCCGCCGCGCCATCATCCGAAACAGCCTCCCCCATCTCCTCATCCTCCTCCTCCTCAACCTCTTCCTCCTCCTCGGACTCAACAGGCTCCTTTGCCTTGTCGCCCTTCACGTACTTCTTGCTGGGGCCCGTCTCCGCCTTGACCGGGGTGAACTTGCGCTTATTCGATACGTTCGGAGCCATTGGTGTGGATTGAATGCTGGATCGAACTGATGAAGTCAACAGACGCGGGTGAATTGACAGCAGCTGGTTTTGTATGGGACGCCCTGCCAGGGACCGAAAGAAATTCAGCCGTGCCACACTTGAGCAGGGGGCTGATAAGGATAAGAGACGACGGAGTTGAAGAGAGGATTTATGTATTGGAAGAAGGCAGAGTTGTGAAGTAGATTGCAGAGTATAAGAAGTAAGGAGTATAGTAAATGTCCTGTCCCGAAAAGCCGGATCGGAACACAGCCCACAACGAAGCACGAAGCACGAAAACAACATTCAAATCCCAAACGCCGCCAAAGTCCCGCTGTATATGCCTTAGATAGCAGCAATTGATACCTTTTCGAATAAACAGATCGCATCACCAAAGACATTACCCACCCTAGGTGAGCATACACCCCCTAAGCTCAAGCATCAACATCCGTCTTCGGATCTCCAATCCCCTCATTCAAAATCGCAAAAATGGCCTCACTCTCCGGTAAGCACGGACTATCATAAATCTTACAAATCCTCTGCTCCCCCCTCCCCTTCCTCAAACTCAACCGTGTCGTACTCGCATGCGCAATAATATTCCCTCCAATCGGCTTCTTCGGATCAGGATTAAACGTCGCCATCCCATCGACTTGTGCAACGACTTGATTCGTGATGACGACGGCGATCCCGTATTCGTCCGCGAGGCGTTGGAGTTGACGGAGGAATTTTGCGAGGTGGGTTTGGCGTGCGGAGAGTTCACCGCGTCCGGAGAAATCGGTGCGGTAGAGGGAGGTTGCGGAGTCCACGATGAGGAGGGAGAAGCGGGATTCGGACATCATTGTTGCGGCTTGTTGGAGGAGTGTTAACTGATGATCGGCGTTGTATGCGCGGGCATATGCAACGTTGTCCAAGACTTCCTCGCCGTTAAGTCCGTACCGTTCCGCCACCGCGAGGAGACGGATGGGACGGAACGTCCCTTCGGTGTCGATATACAGACACTTTCCCTCACCACCACCCATATCAATAGGCAGCTGACATGTCACAGCAAGCGTATGACAAATCTGACTCTTGCCCGTCCTAAACTCCCCAAATATCTCCGTAAGACTCCCCGTCTCAATCCCACCCTGCAACAACGTATCCAACTGCTTACTCCCCGTCGTAATCGTAATCAACTCGCTCCGGCGCTGATGGTACTCTGTCGCGGTTGTGAAACCCATGGGAACCATTTTTGACGCCTCCGCGAGGATTTTGTCGGCTTTGGCTTCGGAGATACCTTTGATGGCGAGGAGGGTGCGTTTGGGGGTGTAGGCGACTGATTCGACGGTGTTGTAGCCTCCTTCGATGATCTTCTTGATGTCACTGGCGGATATGCCGTTGCCTTCCAGCCTGGAGAGGGGGGTGGGGCCGGCCGTGTCCTCTTCTTCTTCGAAGGTTTCCATGGGAGCCAAGCCGGTGGGATATGCTGAAGGTGCTTCTTCGGCCATGAGTATGGTTCACGATAACTTTTTGGTTGCTGTTGAAGGGGATGGGAGGCGGTGGGTTCGCGGGGGGGTTTCTTCGGGAGACGCGATGGTGGCGACTTTTGTACGTGTATGAGTCTTGCCCAGACACATGCGCGGTGCTGTGCTGTGCTGTGGGAGGTGCAGGAGCGTGCATCGAAGCACGTCGACACACCTGCCTTATCGATATCCCTGCGTCGCACAAATGCCTCACACGAATTCGGGACACGTATAAGATCTACGTTACATCGCGATCGACACCAGCAATCAACGTTACCACAATACTCCCCACACTCAGGACCGCTCTACGTCCTCAATCGCATTTGAGGTCTACTTTTCTACACAGACGCACGATGTCCACCGAACAGTCCCAGAAGCCGTGGCACGAGAGCTTCCCTGCCCCCAAGTGCACCCCAACCCCAATCTCCGCCGCCGACTTCAAGTCCACCTACCTCGACGACCCCACAAAGGTCCCGGGGCGCGACTACCTCCTCGTCGACGTTCGCCGCACCGACTACCTCGACCACGCCGTCCCAACCTCCATCAACATCCCCGCGCAATCATTCTACCCAACGCGCCTTACGTGGGTTAAGGCGTTCAAGGAGGTTCCTGTTGTTGCGTTCTATTGTGGGTCGAGTAATGGACGGGGGCCAAGGGTTGCGGGGTGGTTTGGGGATGCGGTGGAGGAGGTGAAGGAGAGGGAGGGAGGGGAGGAGGTGAAGTGTGAGAGTTTTGTGTTGAGTGGGGGGGTCAAGGGCTGGGTGAAGGAGTTTGGGGAGGAGGGTGCGATGAAGGTTGTTAATGCTTGATAGACGTCATGTTGGGAGAGTTATGGTGTGAGCAGGGGTTTGGGGGTGTATGCGGACGTGTATGCGGGTACTGGGTGTGGAGATTGCGATTGAGTTGAGTGGCTTGCGTGGATTACTTGTACACAAAAGGAGCGAAGATATGAGTTGTGGAAATGGACGAATCGATCGAAACGCAGCCGACCTCGACCTCGACCGATGCTCGGGCTTGACCTTTACCTCCGCGGTTCTCATTACATTTGCCTCGGTGGCAGCCTCGGGATCAATCGCAAACCCCATCATCAACCTCTCGCACGGACCAAGGGCTCGGAACCCACGTCAATTGAACTCACACCATGCTTACAAATCAATCCCACCACCCTCGGACACTTCCATCCTGCCCTCTCCTTTGCTCTCTGCTGCGTACTACATCGATTTCGCTAATCGCCTTTCGCGCATGGTCCCTTCATGCGCCAAGACCCGCAATCTTCTCGTGCATGAATATCAACAACCTTAAGCCGCTGACATGATGATGTGCACATCTTCCTTTCGCTTTCCCTGATTACCGGTGCTGGGGCAAGCTTTGTGTTAGCGCTTCTTGCGTTCATGTCGGGATGAGCCTCAAGACCTTCTCGATCACCTCTATGTCAAAACCCCGTCCGGATCATGTCTAGATGATCGTGTTATCAATTGATTGACCGTTGTTTTACCCCGATCCGGGCGGCATGGCTCTGGGTGTGCGTGTGCGCGTGGAGGTTGCTGCACATGTGTGCGTGGTATAGGTAAATCACTCATATCCGAAAAGTTGAGGGTTGAGCTTGTTTGCGTTAGGCTCGGACTACGCACGACTGCGGCCAGCAAGAAGTCCGGCCGACGTCGACAGTACTGCCCCCATAACCCATCACCACGACCGCAATGTGGCAAATTCGCAATTGACCAAGGTTCTGGAAGCATTACAGGTAATCTCCTCAATCGCGACGCCGGCGGCAGCCAATCGCTCCATCTCACGCCTGTGGTTACCACCGTTGTGGACGGTGCACCCCGATATCGATGGGGGCTGGGCCCGCGGCCGTTGTCCGATTTCCGATTTGCGCGCGAACCGAACGCTTGTGGGAACTACGGGAAGGGACTACGGAGGACATATCGATAGTGCATGAAGGAATGAGATTAGATGTGGTGTTTGGATCGGATATGTGCTCAGGGAGGTCGAGGTCGAGGTCTGTGCGTTCGGAGGTGCGATTCAGGCTCGGGGCCCGTGCGCAGCGGTCCGAGCACAAGAGTCTGATGATTTGACCGGAGAACGAGAAAAGTCTGCACCGAGTGCTGACACGGTGAAGCTCGGTAAAGTCAATCTCACGCGATTGGCATTCATGCCCTCGGAGCAGCTTCTATTTTTAACGCTCTGGGGTCAACAGGCAAATCGCGCGCACAGACCAAGCAGCGCTGCACGCCAATCGCGCCAACCCGAGATAGGCACCGGATCGACCGCAGCGGCTGAATATCACTTCCACATGCGCTGCCATGGTGGTCTGTGCATTTCAGTGGACCCGACTGATCAAGTTACTCCCTCCCCTTCCTTGCTCGATCAATATCAAGGTTCAGCATCAAGGCCAGAACCGGATAATGCATCGTGCTGTCCGAGGAGGGATTCGTCAAGCCTCATACGTCCATGACTTCTGTTAGCTGAATTACCCGGTGGGTTGTTGCGATCAAATGAAAAGCCATGGGTGGTGGCCCCGGCTCTATAAGATTGGCTGTTATCCCCCGGATTATTTTGGGTTCTCCTCAGCAGTATACCTTCTGGCTTCCATTCAGAGCCTTAAGGTAGAGGAACATTTGATACCCTCGCCTTCGCTTACCCGTCTACACCCTTCGATCACCAATACGCTCGTACACTACTCACTCAATCGCTATAGATATTTGATCTTTCGACTCGTCAACTCGGATTAAAAGAACGATAATGCTCGCTGCTGCTCTCGCTCTCGCGGCTGGTCTCTTCGGAGCCTCCGTCAGCGCTGCTCCCTTCAACGCTACCGTCTACGCAAATGGTACTGTCGTCGCTGCCAACGGCACTATTCTCAGCAACGGTACCATCACCAACGGTACCCTCAACAATGCTACCACCCTTCCCGCTGCTCCCTACGCCAACGTCTCCGCTCCCAACGGTGGTGCCGTCGCTCCCGCTCAGACGGGCTTGACCACCACATACCAGTCCTTGACCACACTCACCGAGACCTACGTTATCGGTGGTGAGCAGACTTTGACTACTACCACCATCTACCCCACTGTCCTCGTCGAGGCTTCCCGCTACTCTGAGGGCGAGCCGGTTACGTCTTACGGTGGTGTCGAGACTACGACCATCACTATCACCCTCCCCGCCGCTGGTACCTACGATGTCGTTGGTGAGCCCGTCACTGTCACTGCTCCTACAACCCTGACCCAGGAGTACCCCTGCCCCACCCAGTACGTCTACCCCTGGGCCGCCGCCCCGACTGGTCCCGTCACCGTGACTGTCTACAAGACTGTCATCGTCGGCGCCTTCCCCTCCGTCGCTGTCTGGACTGAGACTTGGGCTCCGGTCCCCACGACGTGGACTACGGAGTATGTCGCTCCCACCACTGTGACCTCGTACGTGCCTGCTCCCACGACGATCATCATTAACAACGATATTACCATCGATGTTACGATCGCCCCTACGTTCATTACCTACGAGACCACCGCTACTGTCACCAGCACGGTGACTTCGACTGCGACGTCGACTGTCTCCGCTATTACCACTGAGACCGTCACTACCTCCGCTGCTGCGTCCGCAACTCCGTTGACGTTGTATGCCGACAACGCCGGTACCTTGATCCTCGCCGAAGATGGTACCTTGGTTTTCGAGAACAACACCGCTCCTACTGTGTTTGGACTCAACGCCAATACGGGTGCTTTGACGATCTTCTCTACCGGCGAGACCGTCGCGACAACCAATGACGACAACTCTGCTTTCACTACTACCACCGCGCTCGCTCGTCGCTCCCTTAACCTCTTGGCTAAACGTCAGTCTGGGTTGATCGCTGGTTTCTGGAGGTTGATTGGTACGATTCTCAACTTCGCTATCAACGGCGAGACCCAGGTTTTGGCTGCCTGTCCCGCGTCTAGGGCTTCCAGGTTCTCCTTGAGGCATTTCGGACGTGGACGCCGTCTTGCTACGGGATGTTTCGTGGTTACTTTGACTACTGTTCCCCCTACTGCTGAGACTACCACCTCTTCCGCTGTCTCCTCTACCACCGCTTCCGGTGTTGGTGCTTCCTCTACTGGTGTCACCTCCACCTCTGCGTTCCCCAACAACGGAACTGCTTCTTCTACTCCTGCTACTGGTGCTGGTGCACTCCCTACCTCTACCGGAGTTACCAACATCAACGGCACTACCATTAACCCCGGTGGTCCCATCGAGTCTATTACTTCTGCTCTTGGTAACGGCACCGCTGCTCCCACTTCCGTCCCGGGATCTGCGAACAACGGTACTGGTATCCTTTCTTCTATCAGCTCCGTCATTGCGTCCGCTACCTCCGCTCTTGGTAACGGCACCGCTGCTCCCACTTCCGTCCCGGGATCTGCGA